TGAGCTTTCTTCAGCCAGAAGCTGAGGGGGTTTGATCCATGTGATCATTTTAGTAGCTGCTGACAAATCTATTTTTTGTGAATTTGTCTAATTCTTTTGAAATCAGTATCTGCTTTATCCCATGGCAGTAGGTTCTACAACGTTTTGGTATTTGTTACAAAAATGTGGTTTTGGTCCTGTTTGCTGGTTATGTCCTGATCTCACTGTGTTTTGCTGTCCCTGTGTTGTGAGGGGTGACCATTTATTCACCCTTTTACTCACTGATTCCTAACTTTATTTATTCCTTTATCAAACCACTTTTTGGCCACCTTTTCCCTAGCTGAAAAGTCCCAGTTACGATGTTGCCTTGTATGATTTGGCAATGATTGAATGCATTCCCAATTAAACACAATGCTTCCTAATGAAGCCATTGGCTCATTAGTGCCTCCAATTCACCAGAGCTGAGATTTGTATGGATTTTTTATGAACTATGGGAGGAATTTGGAAGGACTTAGAGCATAGGTAGTGTCAGAATGTGTGAATTTTGAAGGCAATAGAATTTTTCATGCCCAAATGTTGGGGATACAACCCTGAACTAGAGGTGGGTAGAAACCAGAAAAACTCAGCTGTGGGTCATGGTGCTGTGCTTCTGATCTGCTGAATTCCTGGCTGGATCAGCAAATGGCTGGACTCAGCTATAATGCAAATGCCACAAACCTCAGTGCAGCAAAATCAATGTGGCAACGTGAAACATGGTCCATTTAGGTTTAAACATTTGGGTCAATTTCAATTAATCTTATGGACTATAGTGAAATAGTCATTTTCATCCCTCTTGTATGACATTTAGAGCCACTCTGACATTTCTCATTGGCACCTTTACCTGAAGAAAACAAAATGTTTTGCTCATGTTGAAGAAGTGTGCTGGAATTTACAACATTCAGAAAAAGAGGAGAAATTAATTTTCTTTTTTTATTCTGAATGAGAGCAAATGGGGAAAAGCCAGAATTTCCAGTGGCATGCGTGCATTAATTGGTATCTCATGTTTGTTGTGGCTGCTCTGCATGCCTTGTTTCTTTGCAGCTCTTGGAGATGTGGCTGGCCTGGGTAGATGCTACTGAACAGGGAGAACCAGCCCATGCAGCACTGAGCCCTTGGCCTCCTCTGCCCTTTGGGATGCCTCTTTCCTTCAGTTTTGGAGCCCTTCTCTCAGTGGGGATAGGAAATCAAAACTCTCTGTCAGAAGACACAGTAAAGCCTCTGCACTTGGGATTCTGCTGCTGGCAGACCCAAAGTCAGGCTTTGCTAGCAGGATACAGATCTGGGCTTGGATTTTGGTTGTAAAGGTATAAATAAAGGTAAAAATGAAATTTCTGGCCAATTTAATTTGGCCAGAAATATGAGAGGGTGATCTCTTGGCTCAGACATATGGCAGCAGTGGGTGCAGTGATCTCTCCTCCTTGACTCATGGGCCCTGGTAGTGGGACCCTTCAAGGGAAATTGTAGTTTAGCAAATTAGGAGGTTTAAAGCTAAAGGCAGCGGGGAGATTGGGAAAAAAAAAAATTGTTATGGGTTGTGGATCTGCTCTAGTGTGTGATGTGGGATCATAAAGTTGAGGCTTGGATATGGCATTGCCATAGTTTTGAGTGGGAGAAGGAGCTGTCTGTGGAAGACAAAGGGATTCCCAACAGTAGAAATATTGCAAAAGTGTCCAGTGGGGGTGTTACACTTCAGATTGGGTAACTGTCACTGTGGAAAGACTGTCCTTTTTAAAATTTGCACAGCAGGTACGGCTCTCCTTCTGTCACATTTGCTAGCTGGTGCTTATGTTGTGCACTGATGTCACTGGTGTGCTGGATAAACCTCAGCCAAGGCAGGGACAGGTCAGTATGGAGATCTCCTGGAGCAGCTTCCTCCCTGGCCATCCAGCAGGGCTTACAGGGCCAGAAGGGAATTCATCTGTGTGGGCAGGACAGCCCCTGTGGCTCTGTGGGGTCACGTCACCAGCAAGGGGATGGAGGGCAGGAGGAAGGAGCAGGGAGAGCATTCAGCTCGTGGCTCACCTTGGCATCAGTAAATTCCTTCTTTGCAGGATGCAGGGCTGAGAACCAGCTTGGGTCTAACACAGACCCAGACATTTTTGATTTTTCTGTGTCACGGTCTTTCTCAAAAATCTTCCTTAATTGTCTAACTGCTGTTAGAGCCCAGGCCTCTTCCAGAAGAGTTCTCCCTGGCATTGCCACCGCTCCTGTGCCAAGAGCATCATGGGGTAACACTGGTTCATGCCTGCAGTGACTCAGGGGTGGATCAGGCCCAGGGCTGCATCCAGCTGCCAGCAAACTGCTCAGCATCTGCTGAGAGTTGGCAGATCCTCACCGGGTGCCTCAACCTCAAGGGCCAACAATGTCTTCACAGGCATTGTGCCACCACTCTGAAGACACAGATGCCTTCACAGGCATTGTGCCACCACGAGTGGCAGCACTTCCAAACTTCAGGTCACAAATTTCTGGCTCTTTATATCTGGGGCTGCTGTTTCAAAAGAAAAGGAAGAACCTTTCCTACGATACCATCGCTGTGTTCTGACGCTGAGCACATCACTTGCGATAGAGCAGCTGATTGTTTAATTGCCCACTTAGTTCAAAGTGTCCCACTTTGGAGTCCAGTTCTGGAATTTGTTGTTGCTGTACTTGTACCTCAAGGAAGAGTCTTCCTCTGATCTGGATGCATCAGGATCTCTTGCTTTATCACCTCTGTAAACATCTGGCATGTCTCTGGAGAAGACCAGTGCTCCCAGACCCATCCTTGTGATCCCCTTTCAGCCTCACCCTGAGGAGTTACACGGCTTTGGCTGCTCCTGGTCTGCTGAGAGACATGAGCTTGGCTCCTGGCTGCGGGGTTGTTGGTAGGTGTGGAGGGCAGTGAAGGGTGGAGCTCCTGCACATTGTTGTGGCTATGCCCTCTATCCCAGGCCTCATGGCTTCCCACATCTTTGAAGCTTCATTTTGGTAGAGACAGCGATCCAGTGAGGTCTGTGGTGAGCATTTTTGGATTGGTGTGCAAATCAATGCCCTGCATGGGCTTGAGGGTGTGGGAGATGAGAAGGAAGATGAGAGGAAAGTGTGTGCAGAACGCTGTGCAGGGTAGTAATTGATGATCCTAAAGGGCAAACACTGCAGACACAGCAGGGATGTTCACACAAGGATGCTTCCAGATTAAAGTGCCCTGCTCTAAAGTTTCCCTCATGGGCAGCAGATTAATTACCCTACAGCACCTTTAGAGTGGTGGATGCTTGGTCCTGTGGCCCCAACACCAGAAGTTCTGCCTGTAAGGATTAGGGAGCTCTTTTGCTGCCCTTGGTGCTCTGAGGTTACTGGGAGCTGGTTCAGCCAGCTGTGTAACTCCTGAGGGAGAGAGGGGTGTAATTCCCGAGGTGGTTGAGGGATACAGGGAGTGTTGGGGGAAGCTTCCCACAGCAGGGAGCCTTCTCCTCTGGCAGGTATCCATGTCCTTTAATTTTCTCTTGTACTCCTAACTCTCCACTGAGGTGTAGAAGAGAATCACACCACTAGCAAAGTGGGTGCCTGTAGCTCTGTAAGTCTCAGGGGCCTCTATGCTGGTTGCTGTTTTGGCCAAAGCAGTGGGAACTCCTGTGCTAAACCATGAGCTCTTGTGTTCTGACCCAAAAATGCAGTCACCAAGTCTGTTGAGGAAAGCTCAGGAAAATCCCGTCTCCATCAAGGAGACCAACAGCCCTGGAATCCACCCACCCTGCCAAGCCCTCTGGGAGCACCTGGAGTTTGACCACTGCTATAATGAATAAATGTTGTACAAATGTAGTACCATGTCCTTGTTGGAGGGGTGAGAGATAAAGCTGTGCCTGAGTGAGAGTCTCAGGTCATCTTTGAAGACTAAAGAGCAAGGTAATCAATTACCACAAGCCTGCCCGCAGGCCTTCAGCAAATCTGGCTCCCTTCCATAGCAGAAATAATAGCAACATCCTTTGCCAGGTAATTTTCCAAATGATTATTTTAAATAATATGTTGCTGTGATCCAGCAAAAGAGTTTGGTGATTTATGAGAGCGTTTGTCTTCGAGAGGAAGAGCAGCCATGAACTCTGCGGGCTGGCAGCGAGCAGCACGGGGCAAGTGGCACATCAAACACTCGAGTGCCTCATTGCTCAGGTCCACTCTGTGTCTGGAGAAATGGACGCGGGGACACAGATCTCATCCCTCAGCCTGCCTGCCAGCATCCCAGGTCACCAGGCAGATGGTGCTGGAGCTGCTCTGAGCTGGGGGGTGGTGGTGATGGATTGCTCCTCTGCCTTCCCGGGGCAGCTCTGCTCAAAAGGCAAAGGATGTTTGTTGGTCCTGGATCCATTGCCCCTTCCTGTGGTAAAAGCTGAGACAAAGCCCTGTTTTAACAGCCTGGCTTGGAAATAAAGGTCACGGTGCTGTGTAGAAACCAATCCAACAAGTCTTGGAGAACATGTTCTCATGGGTGCTTCAGGTTACCCTGGCCATGTGCCTGCTTTCACTTTATTTTATTTTTGAAAGGCAGAATTAGGATGCCTTAATCCAAGGGGTTTTTTGTCATTTCTTGCCTGTTGTTGGATTTGGAAGAGAAGGGAGGAAATGTGCAGTTGGTTCAGGACCAGCAGGTATCCTATGAACAAATAGCTTGGCTCTTCTTCCTATTAACTGGGACCCTGAGCAACTGGGTCTAGTGGGATGTGTTCCTGCCCGTGGCAGGCGTGTTGGAACTGGACAACCTTCAAGGCTTCTTCCAAGCCAAACCATTCTATGATTAAATAGCCTGTGATGACTTTGTCAGTGTTGGGGAGGTGCTTGTAGTGGGATTTGGCAGATGATACTGCCCGGGTGGAGTCAGTGAAAGGAGCCTCAGTGAAACTGAGAATCTGTCCTGTTCTTTAGGAAGGAAAAATAGCACATCCTGACAGAAACATATGGCCAAAAAGTGCATGTCCTCATCATCATAATGGCATTTTCTCTCTTTCTCCCTCCAGGTTACCTTGCACCCCGAAACCTTCCCAGTGCAGGCTTCTTCCCATTCCTGCAAACAGTGCTGTGTGACTCCGATGCCAGGTGTAAGGGCACACCATACACACCAGAAGATCTGCTGCCAAGACTTAATGACATCTCACACCTCGGACTGTAAGGGAATCTGAATATTTCCAGGTGTTAGGAGCTGTAAGACAAAGCCTGTTTTGAGGGGGAGGGAGCATCCATGCCTGTCTGTGTGTATGTACAAGTTTGTCCACAACAGATATACCTCAACTACCTGTTCCAACAGATGTCTGACACTTAGAAAAGAGAATATCAGCTGCAACTGGACACTTCAGAAATAATCACATTAGGGACAGCTCTCAGGAATGTGTCCACTGATTCAAGCTTGAATCTTCTACTGAAGGGAATTTTGCTCCCTGAGAAAAACTCTTCAGCTCACCCAGATCACAAAAAGGAACATTTTTTGCACGGCTGTGGGTCAGAGATAAGACTTGCCCCCAGAGCGGCCCAGAATGTTGATCTGCCACTGAGAGGGATGAGTTCAGGATGCTTTGGCTGGAAGTTTGGATGTTAGTTCTCGATCAGCTGCTCTTTGAGGAGGTCCCCCAAATGCCAGCCAGAATGGGTGTCCCCTCTGCACGCCATCAGACATGGTGGGAAACACATGAAAATGCAGAAACAATTTTTGCCCATGAAAGCACAGAGATTTGCAGCATGGAGCTAGTTGGGCATGTTTTGCCCAGTTTCAGTTTGCTGAAATGGAAGTGTTCAGTTCACTTCAATTTCTTGATGTTCCAGTTGAAGTCAAGTAGCATTTGCTTTTCAGACATGTCAGCCAGGGTGGTTTGTACATCTTAGCTGCCCAGTTCTGACAGACCCCTGGGGAGCATGCCACTCTGAGGCCTGGCTGGTTCATGGAGAGCTAAAATTCTGGGCATCTCACAATGGCCCTGGTTACTCGTGTTTGCTTTCAGGTGAGAGGCTGCTCCATAGTCAGAGTCTCAAAATCCCCCTTGGCCAGAGCTTGAGATTCTGAAGAGCTAAATGGGCCCTACCAGAGAGCACATCAGGCAGTCCTGGGGTTGGTGGCTCCTTAAGGATCCTCCTTAGTGCAGAGGGAATCATTTCCCAGGCCAATTCAGTGGTCAGAATCTCTCCATGGGTGGGAAGGATGACTAAGGATGTGGGCAACTGAAGTTGCACAAGGTGAATCCTAATCAAATTCAAGGTCATGCAGCAGAAGAGAGGAGGGAAGGCAAAGCCACATGGAGGCTGGATGCCTGGATTCACAGCTCTGTTCTCACTGGCATTGTTTTTCCCTGGGCATGTTAAACAATGGTTCATTTGGGGTATTGAAATGAAGAAATGGGAGCTTCGAGTGCCAAAGCTGGAGGACTTCCATGGGTTTGAATAGCTACAAATCCTCCTTGCTTTCTGCTTTTGGTTTCTGCAAAGCTGTTTAGGAAATAAGTGGTTTTTCCTGCCAAATGGAAAGCAAAAGATTTGGCCAAATTTTATATCAAGAACATGAGTTATTAATGAACATCTTGACTGCTCTTGATGCTCGAGGTTGTCTGTGGGAAGTATCATTATAGATATGTGGCCATACCTCCCCTTGCATGGTCAGTGTCAGCCTTGGTGTGTTCTACAAGGGAAAACACCAACTATTAAATAGCCACAGCAAAACTAGCAGGATGCAGCAGAGTCTAAAACCTCAGGAAAAGATTCCTTGGGAAGGGGAGGGCTCCAGATGGATAGGTGCAGCTCTGCCTCAGGGGTGCTGGATCCCCATTGGTGACTTTGTCACAAAGTGTTTGAGCTGTGGCCCTTCACTACCTGGATATATTGTTTTGTAATATTCAGCTAATCCAGGCTGTTTCTGTCTTCTCCCATTGTGCAACTCACTGAAGCTCTTGTTAAGCTGTTTTATAACTTGCCCTAAAACTATGCATAACCAGAGGTCAGCAGAGAATATGGGCAAGGTTCTCCCCTTTGATTCTCTTCCTTAGAGGCATTTACCAAGGTGTGCAAGGTAAGGTTGCTTGAAATTTCCCTTAATAAAAGGGAACCAAGTCCAAAAATCAAGCTCAGCAACCTTTTCTCATGTAGTGGGATGCTTGGGAAGGATGAGTAAGGTCCTGTTGTCTGGAAGGATTTCTTGGTAGAGCCATGCACTTCAGAGCCATGGAGTTCTGTACTTTTGCTTCCCCAAGATACGTGCCAGGCCTCCAGAAGGAGCCAGGCTTTTGCATAACCCAGATTTCAACACACCTGCCAGGAAATCCAGCCACAGACACATTCTGAGTTAAAGCCGTAAGTTAATTATAAGAAATTCTGGCAGTTGTTACAGTTGTCTCTTCTTTTTTTCCTTTTTTCTTCTTTTTTTCTTTCCCCCAGCAAGCTCAGGAGCTCATCCAGTGTAGCCAAGGACAGGCAGCCATCACCATGGAGTGCAAAGGTTCCTGAAAGCAGGAATGCTTCACTGGGTAGGTTACTCACTGCTCCAGGAAGTTCTGCTCTTTTAAGGCTGATTTTTTTGAGCATCTCTGGACAGAGCTGCAATTCTTAGAGCACTGCTGAAATGATTTATGTGTTTCATAGAGGCACGTGACCATGGCCACATTAGTGGAAATTCTTGGGAACAAGTACAAGTAGCTGTGGAGAAGACTTTGGAATTTGGCCAAGAAACCAGGATTAAATGGTTGTGTTTCACAGGAGCAATGCAAGATCACTGATTGATTGGACATTAATTAGAGACCTGGCTATTTATGGAATATTGCCTTTTTACAACCCACAAATTCTCCATAAACAGCTTATGATTTTTTTCCAAATGGGTTTTTATCCACAGTTATCCAGCAAATAAGTTGTCTTCTGTGCCAGAGTGAATATTTATTGTTGGTGATGTTCTCCTCTGCTGTGATTCTCTTTCCTGAAGGAACTTTCAGTCTGAAAGTTTCCATAAAATCATTACAATTATTATTTATTGATGGTAATGGCTGGTACAGTCTGCAAGCCATCGTGATGGATAGTCCTTTCTGCAGGGAGCTCACGATGAAATGAATGATTACAGATTTGCATTTGCCTGTTCTGCTCCAGTCATTCACTGTTCCAATTAGCATTCCTGCCAGCACCCTCTGTGGTGCACAGACAGAAAAAGGCAGAATGCAAAGGGGACCAAGTGCAGAGGCGTGGGGAGGGGAAAAGTAAATCAATGAACAGTTATGGGAACTATTGACTCATGCTGATGGTCAGGGAGGAACTCAGTTCTACATTTTATTCAAAAATAAAATTTAAAATGATAGGTCATGGCCCCATAGAACAAGTTACAGTGTCATCTAGAATTTCATTATATCAGAAAAAACCCTAAAGGATTTACAGATTGCCATTGGCCGTACCTTTGGAAACAGATTGATAATGCACCCAAAGCTGTAGGTGGCTGTCCTGTGTCCTGGTTTTATGTAGCAAAGAGGTTTTAAAAGCCATAAGTAAAATACAGTGTTTCAAACTGTTATTGCAGCATTTGAGGATTGGGTATCTCATGGAGAGAAAAGCCTTCAGAATGTTTCATCACCATCCAACTTGACTTCCAGCACCCACATGTTCAACAAGATCTTCAATTTTGGGAAGGTAAGTCTGTATTTGCATAATTGCTGAATACGAACATTTGTGTATCCTCATATTTAAAGAATTAGAAGCTTAAAGTACCAACACACAGCTTTTATTGCTTTAGGATCTCCCCAATTATGTGAATGAGCTTTATTTTGGAAACATAGTCATTGTGGGTGGATTTTTAAGCTTTGTGGTGAGTTTTTTATCCTCTAGGGAGAAACCAGGCAAACCTTGAGACATAATACCATGAAATACAAAATACAGTCACACACAAGAAATACCCTGAGATACTTTGTTCAGAACTTGTGTGAATTAAGATGTTTGCAGTATATTTTCTCTCTTATGAAATTAAAGATAAGATGTCACAGGCTTTGACATTCAAGTATTTATTTGCCCATGCTAGTCCTGCAGTGGCATCAGAGGCACTGTGTGTTTATTGAATAGGTGTTTGATATTTATAGAATCTATTCCTTTATAATAGAAATTTGTTGCAATGTAGTGGACACTACATTGTCAAAGTGATGTCAAAGCCTACAAACACTTGAGCAGACATTTCTCTTTGCAATAGATGAGGAATTTGAGGGATTTTAGTGACATTGTTCAGCTGCTAGAATTCTGTCAATGCTATAACCACAATGCTTTTCAGATGTTACTGCTACCCCTTAAAAAAAGGCTCATCACTGCATTTAGCACCATCCCAAGTACAATACTGCTTTCCAGCCACCCTGAATGTTTGTTGTTCTTCCAGAGCCAGCCCCAGCACTCCACTGCAGGCACCCTCAGGGCCCTGCTGTGCCAGCTCTTGTGGCAGTACCTGGCACATCCCGGTGCCTCAGGAGGGAGCATGGCAGCCAGCATCCACCACACCTTCTGCTTCACCAACTCCTCACTTCTGGAGTCCTTTGCCCAGGAGTTCAGGACCCAGCTCTCCCAGGTGAGTGCCTGGACCTTCCCTGGGGGCTGCAGCTGGGAGCTGTGGCTGTTCACACCCACCAGGCAGGGTTTGGGGCTGCAGCAGGGCCCCTCGTGGGCAGGGGGTGCTCATCTCTGTGCCCAAGCAGGGCACAGTGAGGCTGAGTGAATTCTTGTGCATGGGGTTAGCCCAAAGACCTCCAAACTGAATACATGGCTTGGAAACTTGGTCATCCAGCCATCAGCTCATGGCTGCTAAGGGTTCTCACCACGCCTGGGCCTTGCTTCTCCTCTGTGTTTGCCCTGCTGTAGTGGCAGGTCAAGAGAACAGCATGAGGATGTGGTGTAAATAAGAAGGTTTAAACCTTAGGAAGGCAATAAATTTAATTGCCTATTACCTCAGCAGTATAACTTCATCCAGTGACTCCTGCATCTGATCCAACAATTCATGATTGAAGCAGTACTTGTCTTTGGAAAGCAATATAATTAAAGCAAATTAATCCTTTAAAGATAAAGCCTTTTTTTTCTTTTTTTTTTTTTGCCAAGGTTAGGATTGATATTAATTTTCTTGTATTCCTAGTCTTTGGACTCTTTAGGACATTGTGAATCGTAGGGCCTGTCTGAACAGAGAATTTACTGTTCTACCTGGGGTGTGAAGGTAAAACACAGTCACACTCTCAGTTATTACCTGTCCTTTGAATGTATTTTTTGCAGACCTGCATGCAAGTGCAGTGCCAGCTGAAAAACATAGAAATACCCCCCAGCAGCAAGGCTTCTGGTTATTAAATAATTTCTTCTGGTTCTTAAATAATTTCTTACATTTTTATTTGTTAAGGTGCAGCACAACCCAGAGTACCAGGAGACTTTTGTCAGTGAAATGGTCTCATTTCTGACACTCATCTCCCAAGTGCAGAATGACACCTCCCTGTGGCACCTGCTTTTGCTGGCCCCAGATGTGTTTCAGGACAACATGCAGCTGCGAGACATAATTGATTTCCTTCAGAATCCAAGCAGGTAAAACAGAGAAACTGGCAGGAGAACACTGGAAGCTGGTGGGTTTGTGTACTGACCTCTAAGGGCATCACCCATCCTCTGGAAAGAGAGGTGTTACCTTAAAAGCATGATTTATTTGGGGAATGATGCAGCTCCATGCTAATGGATCTCTAAAGGTGTCTGTGGACTATGAGCAGTGTGTTGTTTTTCAGTGACTCTTGTGTCATTCTTTTAATGGGAACTTGATATAAACTCTTGAGTTTTCTCCCAGCCTGCTTAGAGGCACTGTCATGCCCTTGTGCAGACAGAAAAGCTGGTGAGTCACAGGCACTGCCTTTGGTGGAAGAAAAACCCTCCTGGCTGGATAAAGCAAGCAGCCAGCTGCTTCTTTCCAGAAAAGCACAGAGCCAAGTTCAGGTTGCTTTGGAACACCTCAAGCACTTGTAGGGGAGCCATAATGTCGTTTTTTAAAACTGATTACCTAATCTACTGCTGGGTTAATCTTTCAGGACTGATCCTGAGAAAGCAGAGAAGAGAGGAAGCCTGGTTTTCTACCATATGGGCTTTAACATGTCTGACTTGAAGAAGAAAGTGCCAGTTAGGTACTTGCTCAGTGGTTATATGAAAAACAGAGCTGGCTTAACTGCATTATTTAACTGAACTGAAATATTTGTTGCAGTTTGCACCTAGGGCAATACAAATTTCTAAAATGGGCTTAGCCTTGAAATCCCTTTCCTGGGCTGTAGTTTGGCTAAACTCTCCCTGATCTCCAGAAGACCTGAGTTACTCAGGATTAAGGGACTCTGTTCCAAATCATCTTCTGGGTGTGTGACTGACACTGCTATAAAATATTCTGGATAGTCCAGTTGTTACAGTACATGGAGGACACCAAGAAACTGAGTGTCTTCAGACTGCTGTTTGTTTTTATCTTGCACACATCAGCAGTTGGATTAAGATGCCAAACGAAGTTGTAGGATCTTTGCCACTTTGATTGTACCCAGGCTTGGAGGGACTCACTTTTGATCACTGGTGTGTTGCTGAGGCACTTAGAAACCTGTACATTTAATATCAAGGTAATTTTCCATGCTGCATTGTGAGACCCATGTGTAAGCTGTAATGTCCTTATCCTTAAAGGAGTCAGCAGCAGTGTGGCAAGAACTGTAATTTTATTCAGAAGCATTTTGTTCATGCTGCTGTTTCAGTCACAGGATTATTACGTTTGGTTGCATTTACTGGCTTGCAGAACCCAGCCTGAGAACCAGCCCTGTTGGAGTGCCCAGGGAGAATTAATATTTACTGTGCTGCTCTGCTTTGCTCTCCAGCTGCAGAGCTGGGGGAAGTTATCATAGGCACAACAAAGAGGCACATAGAATTTCATCACCAGAACTGTGCAGTGCTTTTATGCCTGGCATCTGGCACTGTAAATGCATGAGTAAAGAGTTATTGCAAAGAGATTGCACAAATAGTACTTTTAATGATGCTTACAAAAGCACATCTTAGCGAGCCTGGCCACGTCTCTTACTCAGGCAGGACTGAACTCCTAAAGAAGTGCTGTACAGGGAATTTTTTTTTGTGGTTGAAATATGAAGGTGTAGAAGAAAAGAACTTTTTCTCATTGGTGCATCTGTATGAACCAAGTGATAAACACCACTAGTGTGAAACAGTAACTTCCAAGTCATGAATCCTATAGAAAGTTTAGCAGCAAATTTTATTACTCACAAAAACCTGGTCTGCAGACTGATTTCACAACTGTTCCTGTTTGTTGCTGTAAGATAGTTTTTCAGCTAAGCAAGTTTCTCCACAGCCAAAGTCTGCAGAAACCCTGCAAGACTGAAATAAAAGGGTAGCAACAACACTTGTTTCCATGTTTGCTGCCTTCTGATCTGCGTGATGTGCATCCGTTTTTGGCAAGTCTGTGCCTGCCTCCTCCTTGGCTCTGCCATTGCTCAGCTAAATATGTCATCTATAACTGGGTTTCTTCCCCTCTACGACTCTTACAAGCACATCTGCAGAATGAAAATGATGAGCAGGAAGCCCACGAAGCCTGCATGGAGACATTATGTTAAACTGGGAGAGAAGAGATCCCCGGTGCTCTGTTCTCAGTATAGCCTGTTCCCACAGATCAGTATGTATTTATTCATGCCACTGAGATCAGCCCAGCCAGGTTCTTTGTGTATCACCCGCAGAACTTGAGGCAGGTGAGAGAGAGATGGTGCATTTCAGTGACCCCACAGCTACAGTGAAGGCTGCTCTTTATACAGGACAAAAAAAGGGACTAATAATCACAGTGAAGTTTTCAGTAACCTGCACACCTGAGCAGGCAGTCCTTTAAATTAGCTCCTCTGTGGTACAATATGCCTGATTATCAGTTTGTTCCTACCTAAGACTGAAAAACATTCCTTGCTTCCCTGGTAGCCTGGCTATTACAGCATGAAAAAAGAAAGAAGGAGAATTGGAAATGGCAACATTTATTTGTGATCACTTCTTCCTTCTACAGATGTTTTTCCCCCCTAGGATCCCTGCTCTCCCTGGAGCCTTGTCTCCTTGGTTCTTGGGGTTTTTTAGGAGGAAATTCCATGAATCACATGGCTGGTGTGTCACCTGGGTGTTTTCTGAGGCCTGCTGGCTGGGTTTTAGTGGCCTGTAGATTTTACATAACTCTCTGAAAACGTGCACCTAATGAGTGCCACGCGTATGTTTGTGCTAATACATCACCATGGCTTTCCCATCAAAGCCCCTGGTGTTTGTGTCTTGTGCATGATCAATCAAATAATTAAAAATAGGGGTGATGTCTTGTCTATCAGACATTTTAAGAATGATAGGCTGTACTCCAGCTGTTTTCTATTAGAGCATTTGTTTTATCTTTTCTCATAAACCTGTAACCACAATTTATTTTCCTTTTTTTCCCCCCTCCTTCAGTGTTGTGCTGGCAGCTCAGAATGTCTCTGCATCTCTTGTGAGCGATGATAGATTCAAAACTGCTCAGAATGGGGTTACAGATTCTCCACTTTCCCTGAACTGCTTGGAGCAAGGTAAGGGTCATATCTCTGCTGAAAACCTGTGGTGCTGAGGAGAAGCAAACTGCAGGCTAATAAGTAACCATACAGATGGCACACTGTTCAGGGCTCAGCATAATGGGTTCTTCCTTCAGCTTTTTACAAATGCGAATGAAATGCCTCATTTCAAATGGAAAAGTAAAAAAGGCTTGGGTTTGTCAGTAGACAATGAATTAACACGAGTTTGCAGCCTCAGTGGAAATGGGAAGCAGTAATGTTTTACCTTGATTTGCTTTTTTGGGGGGATGATGTTAAAATCTGCCTCTGGTTGTGGGCTCTGTTGAACTCAGCTTGGTGCAGCAAGGCAGGGGCTGGGGCTGGGCTGCACAATGAGCTCTTTACATCCAGATGAGCCATTCCTTCAAATCTCTGTCCCTTCTAGCAGAGATATCCCCCTCTAACTGGGGATCTGGGAACAGGCAAGGGAAAGGAACTAAATGCTGCAAGGGGCAGGTGGGGATTGCAGTCCCTTCTCTACTTGTTTTGTTGTGATTGTGGAAGTTGATGTGGGTGAAAAGAAGGATGAGGTCTGCAAGAAGGGAAAACATGGAAAGTGGCTGGTGAAAGGACTGGACACACAGAGATATCAAGATGAGTGTAAATGGCTGTGGGAGACATAAATGTGCTGCAGACAGAGCTTATGTGTGAGCAGTAAAAAAACAACCCTAAATGAAGGGAAATAAACCATAATAAATACTTGGCCACCTTACTCTGCATTACTGACAGCAAAATGCTCCTAAAGCAGGACACCTCTGTTAGCATCCAGATCACGGGAGCATTGAATTGTTCCTGAATTATTTCAGCACAGAAAGTCACTTCTGGGATGCCACCCTCACTTTCCTTGAAGGGTCAGGAAGAGTTACACCCCAAAAGAAAACTCAGATTTGTAACCAGGATATTGTGGCTTGTGGTAGGAGCCTAATTTCATGGGTGCATGTTATGCTGAATAGATTTGCCATTATAGCAATTTCCAGGTTCCAGAATTACATGATCTTTGCTAATATGCTCTTCACATTTTTGTTGTAGATAAAGAAGGAAGCTGGGTGACCAGATCTATTTGTAATTCCTTTGTTCACTGGAAAGACAATCACACTTTAGTATCTGAATTGGAGGAAGTTCTAAGGTGAGACATTAGCTAAAGCGATATTACTAACAGTGTAATTCAAATCTATGATCTTTGCTCTAAATCACCTTACATTTCCACTTGCATTGATTTCATATTCACTAAAACACTTTTTTGTTCCCCTCCAGAAAAATAAAGTCACCAGAGATTGGTGGAAAGCACTCCAAGAGGTCCATTAATTCAGATGATTTAGAAGCCATACAAAAGCATCTACATAGTTTTAAAGGCTTTGAGGAAAAAATGAATAGGAGTGAATTAAAAAGCTTAAATCTATTCAGAAATTTGAAGAATGAAACATTACAGAAATTGTATGCATTTCTTGAACTGGGAATGAATCCACACCATGATTATAAATTAAAGGAACCATATAATAAGGAAATAATTGATGAAATCTATAACTTCACATCACTGCAATTACAGAGTGACTTTAATGGGACTTCCATTTTCAATACAATGACCCAGTGGAAAGAAATTCAGAGGGCTTTAAAATTAGCTGCAATGCTTTGGAATCCAGCTCTCCTAAGTAATTCCAATTTTAGTACACTGAAAACTACGGATGCTCTCAAAATGTTGTTCTCCACAAGCATGCCATCCCTTCTGGAAGGGCTCAGAGACCGTTTGAGTGGAATGCAAGAAATCCCATCTGTATTTTCTGATTATCTGCATGAGTCTGAGTCCTACAGGAACTTCCCAGAGCAGCTCCTAGCTCTCGAGAAGATGTTTTTTAGAATGATAGGCACAAATGTAGGTTATCAGTACATCCTGCTGCCTGTGTTTGAGCTGATGAGGGCTGTAGAGAAGTCCATGGGTGAGGCCTGGTGGGATGAGCTGAACGTCTTCTGGCGCATTGGGGAGAAGCTGAGATCCATGAGGTGGAATAACACAGCCATCGTCGCCTACGGGCAGTTTTTGGAGGTGTTAAACAGCAATTTGCAAAAGCTGAACAATAAATCAAGTGGTGTCTTCAGTGAAGAGTTGGATCAGCTGTCGGAATTTATAACAGCTGTGTTTAAAGAGTTTGGGGAAAGCTCTGGAGTAGCCAATATCTCACAAGTCACTCAAGCCATCCAGAAGACATTGTACATCTTAAAAGACTTACAGCTGAATTATAATGTCAGTACATTAAAATCTATAGATCTTTTCTTCAATTTTAACAATAAAACCTTGGAGAGCTTGTCTGAACTTCTGAGAACAGGAATGAAAATCCTTCATTATACAAGTGCCAGTGAAGGTTCCAGTGAAGACATAATTAAACCCATCTATAATTTAACACATCTTCTACTTCAGGAGTTCAGCCAGTCTGCCTCACAGCACAATACCCCACTACAAGCAAAAATTTGGGAGTTCCTTCATTTAGCCTTGGATCCTTTCCTTGAGCACAACAGCAATGGCTATAAAACAATTCAGAACTGCTCCTTTGAAGATGTGCTTGGCATAGGCCTTGAGGTGCTGTTTGAAAATGCCACTCTAAGGGACTCCTCAGCCAGGAGCCCCTGCAAGCCCCTCTTGGATTCCTTGGGTGTGGAGGGTGGGCCAGGGAGCAATGACACCTTTAGCAGGGTGTTCCAGCTGGCCATAAGCAACCTGAAACTGTCCCCAGAGTTTGCTGCTGCCTACAACAACAGCAGGGAGAGCTTTTCCAAGGAGCTGTCGTGCCTCACCCGAGCTCTGCGCTTGTCTCTGAGTTTCCTCTCCAAGTTAAACCTTGTCTCTGGGCTGGGAAACTCGTGGCTCCAGGAGAAGGTGAGAGCTCTGAGTGCAGCCACAGAGGGGCTGGAGCAGGGTGATGCCTCGTGCCCCATCCCAGCCCAGGATGTGGGTGATGTCTCTCCATCCCAGCTTCTGAACGTGCTCCTTCCTGCCCTGCTGAATGAAACAGTGCTGAGCTCCCTGAATTCCTCTGGCAGTGCCACAGGCTGGCATAACCTGCCCGTGCTCTCCAGGGTGGCACAGGATGAGCTCCAGAGCCTGCTGCAGAGGCTCCAGGGTGCCTTCAGCCTCACCGAGGGCAGTTACTACACAAGTGTCTGGGATGTGTTTGGCAGCTTCCTCAGCACCAAAAGGAACCCAGCTGAAGGAGCTTCCCTTGCAAGGCTGTTGGAAGCAGTGGCAAGTGACTCTGTCAGTGACCTGTCAGCTCTAGAAATCACAGAAGCCACCCTCTACATTCTCCACGGGCTGAACATCCCTGGCCTGCTAAATGAATTCAATACAAGTTCCAGCTCAGCTTTTCTCTCCAACAAAACCAGTTTTGACAGTGTGATTGATATTGTTGCTCATCACTTCACTGTCGTGGCAGAAACCCTTTACAACAAGAGCCTGCCTTGGACTCTGAGTGACCACGCTCTGTCCCCAACCAGCTTGATCACACAGTGAGTTTGGGGCTTTGGGTACTGTAATTTCATGGGTGGGTTGTGACCACCATTCTCATTCCAGCATGAGAAGTATGGAATTTTCTTCCAGTGGAACAACCTGAGCCTGCAATCACTGTAATTTAGGACACAATGTATAATGTGGGTTAAATTGAAGAAGAGGAAACTTCTCCTTGAGCTGAAAGTCAGACTTACAAAAAATTGTGTGTGTTGGCACATATCAATGCACAGTGGAACAGAGTCCTGAAGGAGTCTCACCACCAGTGGTAGGCCCTTGGGAAAACCTTCCTTTGTGGGATGACTCATTTTTGATCCTCAGTCTCCCTTAGGTGTGCCTTTCCATCTATGTAATGCATCCATCACATAGATGTGAACTTTTCAAGTGTGTTTTCTTATTTTGAGAGTGAATGACAGCTTTGGGAAATAACAGCAAAAAGAACTGATGGAATAAAACTGGGGGGGTACCCACTTAGGAGAGATGGCTTTCATCTGGAATTCTTATTTACTCTGCTGAGGAGCAGCATCCATAGCTGACAGGTTGCTCACTAATACATACCTTGTTTTTGAACGAGAAGCTGATCTAAATTCCTATCTTATTTTTCAGATTTCTGTTTTTAGAATTTCAAAACACCGTCTTGCAGGTGACAGCAAATAGCAGCTATAACCCTTACCTGATGTGTTTAATAAATGCTGCAGAAGCTGAAGATGGGCAATTGACAGGTGATCATGATTTCATTAATGCTGAGGGGCCTCAGCTGGAATGTGCTGTGCCTAATAGTGGGAATGGTGTTACAGGGTTTTATCTGCTGGCAATTAACTGGAGCTGTGAGACCTGGGGAAGCCAGGCTGGGGTTTTGTTTGAGTTATGTCACATTGGGATTATGAGTTTCCATCCCAGTCTCTCCAGAAGGCACATCTCTTTTTCTTGGTGTAATGACAGGTTGCTGACACTCAGACAAAGCAATGTTACAAACAGAAACCTCTTTCCCTTCACAGCTTTATGTAGCTGTAATATGACAGCAGTTATTTCTGAGAGTTAACATGGTATTTCACATAAATACTCATCATTTGTGCTTATTATAACACCTGAGAGGTTTTACCTTTGCACCTATTACCAGGATGGGGTGGATTTCACTAGGAACTGGGCACCTACTTGAACTCAATCCCTTATAATCCAGATTACAGTTTGGGCCTTGCTCTGTGATTTCAGAGATCCTCAGCCACGGGAGTTTGGTGGAAAATAGCCATGCTCAGTTGGCCTCAGAATGAAAGTGCTGATATTCCCATCTGTGAAGTTTCTGGCATTTTTGTCTGGAGTAACTATTGTTTTTTTCCCCTGCACAGAAAACATCACACTGCTTTTGAAGCAAACTCATCTGAAAAAGAACTCTTTTATGCAAAATAATACCTCTGAGAAACATTCATCCATACCAGAGCTCCTGAAGCTAAAAGTGAGTCTGCTTAAAATGCTGACTTGAAGGACATCCCGCAGTGATACATGAATGTGCAATGGTGGTTTTGAAAAACAGAATATGGAAAAAAGTTTTCTTAAGAGAACAGCTGATAAAAACTAGGATGAAACTCTGTTCTGCTTGCTGCCCATATTTGAAGGTCACCTGTAAAATGGGTTGAGGAACTTGTTTTTTTATCTGTCCCTACTGAGTGTACACCCATTTTTCAGAGGAGGTAGAGGTGTTCCTGTCCTCCCATGTGCTGGATAGGATGGCTCTGTTTTCCACCAGCTGTCCTAGGAGGATGAGCACTGCAGAGGTGGCCAGTGGCAGCATGTTCCTCAGTGCACCACTAGTCTTAAAATTCAGTATATTGAGACTTCCTGAAGCACTCTGCAGAGCTGCAGTCATTCTAGGATGCCTCAGCTTCACTTGAGGAGGAGATAGGGAGGAGTTCTGGAAGGCACAGGTAGGGATTAGCTACCTCTGCCCTGCTGAAAATCCATGGAATGGTGCACTCCTAATTGGCAGTTAGCAGCATGACTAACTGGGTTACTGCTGTACCAGCACCAGCGTGGCTGGAGTCGAGTCCCCACATGCTCCTGTGGCCCCAGATGTCACACAACACCAGAATGGCTTCTGAGATTAAGCACCAGCATTGATTCATGGAGTTCCCTCACCAGCTCTGGGTTTGGCAGTGCCTCATTTGAATAAAATGCTTCTTAGCCCATGCATTCATGACTGCACTAATAGCATGCATGCACTTCAGTCTATTGCTCTATATGAGAAATAGCATTTAAAAGTCCCTTTAAAAAAATACAGCAGTGTGCAATGTTGTTGCTGTGTAATATATCTGTAACAATAATATGATGAGCCTCAGTGTGACAGGTACTTAAGGGCATAAAGCTGAAAATAATTCTTCCCATAAGAGCCTGATAATGTAAATAATGATGTCAGACAAGAGGGAAGCCCATAACAACAAAGGCCTATAATTTTACATGGGTTGGCAGATGGGGAAGCTCTGACTTCTGGCCAAGTCCCTTTCCTGTGCTGCAGTAGATGACCAGGTGGTATCTGAAAGGCTAAACCTGTTGTGCAAGGTAGATTTATTTGGTCTCTGAGAAGATTAATTGGTAAACAAGTAAGTCCAATGGAGTACTGCTGTCTAAGAGTGTTGGGCAGGGGAAATGACATGTTAAGGTTTGCAAGGTTTATCAGATCCAGCCAGGTCTGCCAGAAGCTCACACAATGATTGTCCCAAACTGTTCTATTGGAGACCTTTTGAGTGAACTAAATATATATGTATTTTAAAATCTTAGTCCTGAGGAGAGACAGAAAGGGACAGCTAGACTCCTTAAAGCTTGCCTTTTGTAATTCTGTCATCTAACTGTTGTTTGTGCATTTGTCTTCCTTTTTTCAAAATGTCCCTTGAAGATCTCTCGCCTCCGGGATCTGACAGCACTTCTGTGTGACTCTGAGAGCTCTCAGTCCATCCAGCAGCTCTGCCACCTCCCCGAGGTTCCCTTTGGGGAGCTGTGTGAGCAAGGCCAGGCTCAGGAGCAGCTCCTCCGTGCTGCTGAGCTGAGCAGCCAGCTTGTGACCAACGTGCTGAGTCACAGGAGGATCTCCCAGGAGCTCCAAAATGTGCTCATTGGGGATGCCACAGACATCCAGGCACAGCTGAAGTGGTGAGGCTCTCCCTCTGAGCTAGACTGTTTTAGTATTCTGTTTATGAAATGACTTCTTGCCTTCTCTTTATATTCTCAGTTTTGTTTGTTGTTTTGTTTTTCCAATTCAGGCTTCAAGAAAATGTACCAGAAATTGCTTTCTTTCAAGAGATTCCTCAGTATATGGCTGCTTTGAATTCCATGTTGAACGTCACTGAGGGTTTAACAGACTCGAGCAAGCAAGGTACTCTTCTGTATTTTCTTTACAATGTTGGCAAGCATCACCACTGGTACCACACTCCCTGCTGGAAATCCCAGAACTGCCTAGCTTCCAGGAAGAATTGGTATTAATGAAATAACCACACACCAAGACCTTGGGATCCTTTATCTGGGGTACTTCTAGAGACTGTTCAAGACCACACTTTGTTTTCTTTACAAAGAAAGCACCAAGTCTTTCCATCTGAGCAAATTTTGCTGTCCTGAGACGTGATAACTTCAGCCCACAAACCAGACTGTAAAATTCAGGAAGTAATGACTGTATGTTCCAATTTTTTTGAATTTTTTCTTACCAGCAGTGAGGTACCACACTCCCATACTTCACATAAAGTCTTCTCCATGCGCTCGAGATGTGCTGTGTGTCTGGAGAAAGCTGTAACATCAATTGTTCTTTGACTCTTCATTCCAGAAAAGTTAAGAGATGTGTTTAAAAATGTGGACCAGCTCAAAGAGGACCTCAGAAATGCGACAGGAATGTCCACAGCCAGCATTGATGCTCTTCTGGAAGCATCTTTCCCAGAAAACAGCAGTCAGGTAAGTTTGCCGTTATCCTTTTAGGAGGTTTTGTTGCTTTCTACTGCTCAGACCATTAAAAGTAATTTGTTGGTGAATGCATCTGAACAGGTCACTGGGTGTGTGACAGCACAGATGACCCCGCAGGGATACAAAGAGGATAGCAGTGCATGTTATGCATTGGGATGGCCACCAGGAATGCAGTGGGAGCATCACTGTTGTCAGCCCAGCCTGTGGAGACTGGGAGCCATGTGGTCCCTTTGGCTGCCACCAGCAGCTGGTCAGCAGCCAGGCACTGCCTGGAGAGGGATGGCTGTGATCTGCAGCAGGGCACAACTCTGGGACACACCAATGGGGGCTGGGCAGGGCCTTCAGTCAGTCCTGGTCGCTGAGAAGTTGTCCAAGTCCAGGTGAAAAAGTACATTTATAACCACAACGTGTGAGAGCACTCAGGGTCCAAAAATATCCTCCCAGAATGAGAGATGAGCTTCCCTTCCTCAGCCTCCTGCTCCTGCAAGCAGAGCTCCAGATGCTTTTCCCCTTCTTTGGACTGGGCCCCAAAGAGCATGCTCTTTTCCAAACTTCGCATGCATCAGTCAGTGAGAAATTGAAGCCACAAAAGCTTTTACTACTGTGCAAGCTGGGTAGTAAAACACAGTCCTTAGGATTTGTCCCTGGGAGCAGGAGTAATGGTCAGGCATTTTCTGCTTCTTGGGTGGTTGAAATATGGCACTGTGGGAGGAACACCAGCCAGGCAAGATGAATCCAGGCATGGTGGAGTGTGCAGTGCACCCCTAACAATTCTCTTTCCCCTTTGTGCACACCCAGCTCCTCTCTCAGGTGCTGCAGCTGGAGTCCTGCAGTGTCCTTCTGGAGGACCCACAGCTGCAAGTGGTGGTGCAGGAGCTGTGCAGCCTCCCTCTGGCAGAGAGGACTCGCAGGACCTACCTCCTTGGGGTCACCCTGCTGAGACACCTGGACATTTACAATTTCTTATACAAGGTTAGTGCTGGATTTTTAGAGTGGTTTCTACAGTCTTTGCTGCACGCAGTGGCTGAAAGGTTATAAAATATCATTGCAGTGGCCAGAAGCTACACTGATTTACATAAGCCAAAGATCAGGCTTTGCTCATGCAGCAATTTTTATTGCATATCCATGCTGTGACAGCATGGATATAAATGAGAAGCCCAGCTGGTGTAAAGCAGCAAACCTCATTTAAAGGCACTGGACCTACTCTAAATGCCTCCCTATCTGCTAGTATCCTTTATGTGCTGTCACAACCTCTTGAACACTCCCAGCTGACCCAAAAATGAGCTAAATTTTTTGATTCCTTGAAAAGGGAAGCCCTGGAAAAAGTCCTGTAAAATATCTTTTCCCTATTTATTTGGAACTGCAAAGTTATTAAATGATTGAAATTCCCCCCCAACCTCCCCAGCTATAGCAACAGCATCTAAGAAAACATTCAGAGAAGTGAATAGTAAGCATGTATTTAAAAGTACAGGAGTGATCCTGGGGGAAAAAAAAAAAAAAGTTTGTTAAATGACAGTACCAATGAATTTGGGCTCAGGTCAAAAGTCACTCGCAGTGTTTGACACCTGTGCTGTGTGAAATGAGAGATTTGATCATATCCCAGCCAGTGCATGACACACATTTCCCAACTGTAGGTGTTTGGAAACACACTGTTAGATTATGTAATGTTCAGGTGAATGGCTTGCAAAAGTGCTTGGGGATTTAGGAATACAAATCCCATTCATTTCCCATGAGACACCCACTCTGTAAAGCCTCCTTGCAGTTTTGAAAATCCCACAGTGCTCATGTCTGAGTTAACACAATATGGGCGTGTGCATGCCTGTGCACGCAGAGTCCTGCTCATCATAATTGATTTCCTTCCTGCCTCTTGCAGATGTTTTTCCCCAAGGAACTTCAGAAACCCATGGACAAGATGTTAGGCCTTCTGACAAAAATGAAATATTTCAGACACCAGGTTGAATCTGGCATTGATCCATTGCTACAAGCTATTCATTCCCTGAAAAAGCTCCGACAGTCCAGGAAAATGCCACTGACTAAGGTATGTGTAGTCTGCCTGTGCTTTTGAGGCAAAATGCCACTGAAATGGTTTCCACAGTAATTTCTTACCCTAGAAGCCACAGGTGCATTAAACCATAGATTCTGTTTCAAAGCAACAGTGTTCTGAGAAAAAGCTCTATCAAACTTATCTCTGGAAGTGTTCAAGGCCAAGCTGGATGGGGCTTCTGGCAGGTGTCCCTGTCCATGGCAGGAGGTTGGAATGAGATGAGCTTTATGGTCTCTTCCAACCCAATCCATTCTGTGTTGCCTTCCTGGGAGAGTTTTGATTTGGAGCAGTGGGACCATCATGTGCTCATGAGTGGGGAGCACATGCTGTGGAAGGAACACTTGGAGCAAGAATGTCTTAAAGGAGAGAGGACTTCCAGCAAAGTACTGGAAGGATCAGCTGGTGAAAACAGCTAGGGAACTGCCCACTAAAGGCAAACCCACCAAAGTCAGCAGCAAAAAGCTGCCTGAGCTTTAGTGTGCATTAGATCACACCCAAAGCCTCCAGCCTGCCCAAAGCATTCAGTACAAACCCATTACTGCTCTGACAGCTGCAGTAACTCCAGGGTGCACTGCCTTCATCCAGCACAGTGTCCAATCCATCTCTGATCCATAGTCCAGGAGAACACAAGTGACAGGAACTGTTCCTGGTCATCATTCTGCCTGCACATTGCAGAGCCACGTGCAGCCATGGACTAGATGGGGACAGTGATGTGCACATCCATGTGACAAATCTGTGTTGTAACCCAGGTGTGTGAATGTCACCAGGCACACATTACAGAGAATTTCTGTGCACACATTCTAGGCACTTCCCACATTGGCTGTCATACCTGGAAATAAATGTGCCACCTCTGTCATAATAATAAAAAAAAAAAATGCATGATTTCCATGGAAAGTTCCTATTTTTGTAAATGCAAACCTCTCATAAGAAAGCAGTATAAAAATGTTCAGTCCTTTCCTTCTCATTCTGTTATTTCTCTCCAAGTGGGGTGCTTTCAGTGTGCAGGATTTATTTGTATTTTGTCTTTTCTGCAGGCATTATTTAAACCAAACAACTCTGGGATAACACATGGCACTTTTAAATCCATGTCAAAAGTCCTCTGCAACCAGGAGATCACACCCCTGTTTTTTGAGTCTTTGCTTCCAGACTTTGGAGACCCTGTAAGCAACAGTTCTCATGCAGAGGATGTCTATGTCCAAAAGCTGATGAGGAAATATGGGATTCCTCAGGATTCCAGTAAGTCTGGCTTTTCCCTAGGGCACAAACGTTTCAGAGCTGAACTCTGCTATTTCCAGACAGATCTAGTGCTGAGCTATTCTCCATATGTCTCTGAGGGCTTTGAGTGCTCATTATTTATGGTAGCTGAAGATCTGCACTGCCCTAATTATTGGTGGTTTATTTCCATAAATGTTCAAAGGGAAAACTGCCTGTGCAGCAGAGCAGTGCTTGACACTGTCTCCCATTTGTTGATGATCTGGTCCTAGGGCTCGACAGGTCACTGCTTTTTCTTGATGTGTAGTTTTTCTGACTGTACTGACATTATTAGCTCCTCTGAGTTCACAAAACTCCATTTAACCTTCAAGCAGATAATGTTGGCTCGAACAGCCAGACTCTTGTTGTCTTGAGTTCAGCAACAGGAGATCTTGGGGGTGGATTGCTTTTGTCAAGATGCATTAGATCAGTCAGTGAAGAGGGCCCTGAAGTCATTCACTGGCCACAGCAACAAACTGGGCAGATGGGAGAAAAAACATACTGGCAGCTTTCTTGTGTCTGGTCTGTTTGTTCTCTGTGCAATTTGTTTGCTTTTCTCCCCTTGCAGCCCCGTTTTGCTTATCCTTTTACCTGGACCTGGTCAAGACCCCCACTGGAGCTCTGATTTGGTCTTTCTTAAAACCAATGGTGCTTGGGAAGATCCTTTTCACACCAGATACCCCAGAAACTCGAGCAATCATGGGAAAGGTATGGCTCTGCTCCAGCACATCAGGATACACCCACTGCAAAGGGTTGTAATTTATCCAGCACAGCCTTGTTTCCCTGGGAAGCAGAGGGCTGCTTTCTCACTGTTTGGAGTATTCATCAAATTATCTTTTCCTACTTGCCTTGCTGGCCTTATGAGTCATCTTTTGTCTTTAGCTGAATCTTCCCTCCAGAAGCTGCTGTTGGTCTAATATTTATAGGAAAATTGTTTAAGGCCTTCAGTTTATCAAGCTTCACCCCCATATTTTCAGCTAGTAGGAGAGATGTGCCTCCCAGGACAAATGCTGTAAGCAGTGCTTGTTCACAGGCAGACCAGAGGCAGAAGGAAAGCAGATATTCAAGGCATGCTCTAAATACAATATTTTTAAGTGCTTGCATAAATTCAGTGTTTTAAGGGGTATTTTGCCAAACAATGAGAGGATGCTAGGAAAAATCCTAAGGAAAACAAATTTGGTCTCAACTATTTTATTGATTTATTCATTGGTTAAAATCTGTAAGGTAATGAATAAATTAATCCTTTTGTTTTGTGGGCTTCTTTTGTAGTCAAATGCAACCCTGGAGCAGATGGCTGAGTTAGCCCTGAAGTCCCAGGAGTGGCTGGACCAGTCTCCTGTCATCCTGAACTCACTGACTAAGTTAAACCAAACAGTTCCAATGATCAAGGTATGACTTCCTACCTCCCCTCTGTCTCCTGCCAGGAGGGACCTGAGAGGATGGATTTGTTCACTGAAGTAAACTGGGGTTCCAGGGACATCTTAGCTCAGCTGGGGAGACCCCTCTCAGTTTCTGTGCCTGCCTGTTCCCTTAACAGAGATGCTCCTGACTCACCTTTCCCTGCAAATGCTCTTTCTCAAATGAACTCTTTGCAATATGCTCCCTGACCCTGGCTGTGCTGGGGCCTGCTGGAGGGCTGAGATGAGCAGGGAGCACTCTTCAGTTTGTAAATTAACTTTCTGCTTGATGGACTGATCCAGCCAGCCAAGACTAGGCAAGAAATGAATTTTTCAGGAAATGAAATAGTATCTATAATAATCGTGTAGTTCTGGGTACACACATAAGAGCTAGAAGATGTTTTGTACCTCAGTGAATGTAAATGAAATTTCTTTTTCCCCCTCTTAAGAACCTAACCTTGCTTGGATACAGAAAGCAGTAGACTGTAATGTTACACATGCTTGTTTCCCATTCTCTGTAGTAAAAATTGTCTCCTTTTCTTACAAAAATGAGATCCCTGGAAGCCAAAAGCATTAGCAGTTAATTTTAGGGGCTGGAATTCATTCTAATTTCCATGGCACCAAGAGAAAATCCAGAGTGGAATGTGCAAAAGTGAAATGCAATATCCTCTGCTGATTGCAGTCATTGGTGGAATAATGAAATATTCAGCCAAACAAAAACCTGTGCTGATCTCCAAGTTTTGGTTGCCTACGCGCTGTGCACTGGCTGTGTTCACAGGACTTAAAACCGACACAAGGGAAATTTACTTCTAGAATAACTAAAATTATCCATGATTTTTTTGATGGGACTCTAGTGCCTGGTGGAGACTCAGCAGGCATCCTTTCTTGACTCAAAGAAGCACTGACTTGGACTCAGGGAGCTCTCTAGGACATTCCCATTGCTGATGCAGAGTGAAGGGAGTAGGGAGGGGGCAGTGCAAATACCCAGTGAAGGCAGCTGCTCAGTTGTGGTTTAGAATTGAGTGAGTGAGCTCAAGAAGCTCCTGGTCAAGCTGATGCTTTGTCTTTCTCTGCTTGTTGACAGAACGCCCTGCGGAATCCCTTTGTGCAGGTTTTTATCAAGCTGATGGTGGATTTGGATGCAGCTGAGCTCCTGAGTCAGATAAATGAGCTGGGTAAGTGTGTCCATGATGTGCTGCTCTCTTCCTTGCACTTCAGGCCTGGGAGCTCCAGCGTCAGCCAGCTGCAGCCATCCCCTAGCCTGCTTTTCCCTGGCCCATGTTGGAGGCTCCAGGGCATGGCAATCCCCGCTGTGATGCAGAAATCTTCCAGGAAAAAGACTCTTAGAGAGCAAAGCATTGGTGTGAGGAGATGTTTCTCCTGGGTGTTCCAGGGGGAGGTTTGCCGCGGTGTGTGGCCACTGGAGGACACTGTTTAGCCGTAATTATGGCTTCAAATGAGCTACCTGGGACTCGGCTGGAGCTGTTGTGGAGAGCTGCCTTGCATCGCAGTGAGGCTCAGATGAGAAGTTCTCCAGAGCAGAGCAGCCAGGGATCAGATAAATGTACCCAGGCTGATGGAGCCAGAGGCATCAATGCAGGAGATGCTCTGCTGCAGTTTGCTGCAAGGCCCTCCAAGGTGACATTTGCTGCTGTGCAGTGTGAGGATCACCAGTGACAGTGCTGGTGGGTACATCCCCTGTGAGTGCACAGCACGGGGATCACAGTCCCTGCCTGCCTGGCCTTGCTGTCCCTACCTGCTTTTGCAGTGAGTGGCCAGGCATGTCACCATAAATCTGGGCTGTGCCAGCAAAGCCCAGCAGCAGCCAAGAGTGATTATGGTCTGTTGCAGTCATTTACATCCAGCTGGTGATGACCCCTGTGTTATTCATGAGCAACAGCTCCTGCCTTAACTCCCTATAAAGCCACAGTGCCTGTAGCAGCTGTTCCATATTAGTTCCCTTGCATTATGCAGCCACCTTTGAAACCTGCCAGCAAACAGCAGCATCTTTATTAACTGCAGCATCAGGTTCAGTCCACACATCAGCACAGCACTCACTGCTCTGCCTTGATGTGCTTGGATAAAGCATGTCCTCCCCCGAGACACGGCAGCTCAACAGGCGAGTTATTGCATCCTAAAGCAGAGGGTGTGGAAGGAATGGTGAGCACCACGTGCATGTCTAAAGCCTCAGCAGGTTAGTGGGGACTTCTGATTTGGGATGGCTGTCACATCCCATTGCTGGCATCCTCCCAAAGGCAAACTCACGAGCATATTACAAATGATTAACATAAAAACTGGGTCAACAGCATGCCTTCATTGCATTGCTGAGTGCAGGAATGCATTTCACACTTCATATTTAGCATGATGGGTTTTGTTTTGTTTTCTTTCCTCCTTTCTGGTGTCAGCGTGAAGGAGTGGAAAGCTGGAGTGGGATTTTTGCTGGGTGTAGTGATGCTGGAGGGTTTGTCTGTGGGCTTTTTCCCTAGATGATATCCGGCTGGAATTGCAGAACAACGCTGACGTTGTTGATCAGCTGAACACGTTGGCTGCCCTGGCTGTGAACGTCTCCTCCTGCGTCTCCTTCAACCGCATCCGGGCAGTGCAGGACTTGGATGAATTGGAAGCGGTGGCTAAGGAGCTCTTCCTGAAGAACGAGCTGTTTGCAAGTATGTGGCAGTCCCAAATCCCCCTGACAATTGAATTTTGCCTGATAGAGTGTGGGAATGCAGCATAAAATATTTGGCTTTTCCCCAGCAACTGTTGTGGTCGCAGCTCCCACCATGCTGCAGTTGATTTGGAGCACGTGTGTGTGGGACCTGCACACTGAGACCTCCTTTTCATGCCTCCTCTTCCCTTACACCTCCCCTGTCTGTGGTCAGCTGCTGATTTCTCTTGGTTAATTCTCAGTTTGAATAAAATCCCACTGCCCCAAGGTGATCTTTGTGCAGCCATTTCCTTTCAAGCTGCTACAGGAAAAGGTACTTTAATCAAGAAAGGTATCACAGAATCGTTCAGGTTGGAAAAGACCTTTAAGATCCTCAAATCCAAATATGAGACAATTCAATTTATTAGAAGGTCATAAATCACTTGAGATATTCCAGCCAAGCACCATAATGGTGTACTGAGTCTTCTAAGTCACACTTTTCACATTTGTGGGATTGGATTGTGGGATCACACTGCAGAGAGGCTGGAGGGAGCAGGAAATAGGAACTTACATTTGTATCATTAGTACAAATTAATATTTGAAGATTAGATCCTCAATTAGTATTTACTCGTAAATCCTGTGACCTGTTTGGTTTTATACTTCATAACTGAGGGGCAGATAGAAACTTCTGCTTCTCTTCGAACTTCAAACCCTGGTGATATTTGTCCTTTCCCATTGTAGCAGTTTTTTTCTCTGTTTGTCCTCTATACTATCATATGTTTTATACATGGAATAATCAGGAAAAATATTCTGGATAGAAAAATTTCTGTGAAGAAACCTTGTAAAAATAAGGAGTTCCTATGTATCTGTGTGTGCTGTCAACTGCAAAGGAAAGCCTTTTCCCTTTCTTTTCCCAGGTATCATTTTCAAGCTGCCTTCAAGGCCTGGCCACTCAGTTCCTGGGGGCCTGTCCCTCCCTCCTGTGCTCAACTACACCATCCGAATGAGCAGCAGGATAACCCAAACCACCAACAGGATCCGCGAGCGCATCTGGACCGTGGGCCCGCACAACTCCACCTCCCAGAGCCAGATTTACAGCCGGGCCTTCATTTACATCCAGGACAGCATTGAAAGGGCCATCATTGAGCTGCAGACTGGCAAGAAGCCAGAGGAGATAGCTGTCCAGGTCCAGGCCATGCCCTACCCCTGCTACAACAAGGATATGTAAGTTTGGGTGGATTTTGCCTTCGTGTTTTGTGTCAACTCGTCTTGTCAGACTTGTGGAGTACACCATTCTTTAATTCCACATTCACATAGCATAAAAATAATTCAATTCTGTTCAGTTATTTCTTTTTGTTCTGGATAGAAAAATTTCTGTGGAGAAGCCTTGTAAAAATAAGGAGTTCCTATGTATGTGTGCGCTGTCAACTGCAAAGGAAAGCCTTTTCCCTTTCTTTTCCCAGGTATCATTTTCAAGCTGCCTTCAAGGCCTGGCCACTCAGTTCCTGGGGGCCTGTCCCTCCCTCCTGTGCTCAACTACACCATCCGAATGAGCAGCAGGATAACCCAAACCACCAACAGGATCCGCGAGCGCATCTGGACCGTGGGCCCGCACAACTCCACCTCCCAGAGCCAGATTTACAGCCGGGCCTTCATTTACATCCAGGACAGCATTGAAAGGGCCATCATTGAGCTGCAGACTGGCAAGAAGCCAGAGGAGATAGCTGTCCAGGTCCAGGCCATGCCCTACCCCTGCTACAACAAGGATATGTAAGTTTGGGTGGATTTTGCCTTCGTGTTTTGTGTCAACTCGTCTTGTCAGACTTGTGGAGTACACCATTCTTTAATTCCACATTCACATAGCATAAAAATAATTCAATTCTGTTCAGTTATTTCTTTTTCTCAAGGGGAGGGAATTTTTGACTCTAAGATGATCTGTTTAGTTTGCCTAATCTTTTGTTTTCAGTGTGCTTTTTATATCTGGATTGTGATGGTAACTTTGTAGGTTTTACAGCAGGTAAAACTCCCTGTCCCAGTTTTACTACACAGAGTGGGGTTGAGAGTTGGCAGAATTTGGTTAAATATGAGTCTTGGCTTGTTCTGCAGGTGTTCACATGCAGACAATGCAGCAGAACTTAGAAAATTGATTTTTGGGGGGAAAAAAGGGGTGCCTAGGTTTATGAGTTTTACAGTGGCCAAAACTGAGTGGAAAACATACAGGGAAGGGATTTCAGGGTCCATCAGGGAGCACTGGAGGATGTTTAGCAAGAAGGATTGATAGATGTGAGGGTCACTGTGCCCTTACTGAAGGTCTCCCTTGGAGCAAAGGGATAGGCTGGACCTGGGAGATTTTCCTACTGAAAAACCTCCATGCCAACTGTGTCAGCCAAAAGATTTTTTGGGAGCTGTAAGATGTCATTTAGGAGCCATGGCAGAGCTGTTCATCTCCTGTGTCAGCTGTCACTGAAGAGAGCTGGGCACCTATAACCCCTCCTCAGGGGAGCAGCATGGCACACAGGCAGGAAGCATCCAAACCCAATCTGCAGCAAATTCCTGGGTTATTGCTGAGAGTTTTGTGCAGTGATTAACTGCCTGCTGGAAGCACTGACTCCAGTGCTGTCTGCTTCTTTTTGTTCTTGGCCTGCTGGGAAAACCACTTGCCTTTGGGTTTCCCTCTCCCCAGCCCAGGTTCAGAGGGATGTGTTTGCTCAATTATTAAAATACCTCAAGGCTTTGGATTTGCATCCAGCAGAAGTCATCACAAAATGCCTGCTTATTGATTGGTATTGCACAGTTATCATCCTGGAGAGAAAAGGGGGGATGAAATATATATATATAGATATAAACTAGTACACAAGGGGTGTTGGGCCATGCTGAATTTTTAGGAGCCTTTCCTGGTTCTTTTTAAGTAAGGCTTAATTGGCATGGAAGCGTTTCCTAAAATGCTGGATCATAGGAAATTTTCAGCTTTACAGGTAAAAAAAAGTTTGAAAACAAATGCAATGTTCATTTGTCACTGTTATTGTACACTATTCCAGGAATAGCACTGATTATGGGTTTAAAGTCAGGTTTATAAATTAAGGAAGAAAATGGAAAATGCAGACCCTGAAGGTGCAATGAAGGGGATCCTCTGCTATAAAAACTTGCTTTCCATGTCAAAAGGATAAATTTATTTTTGGCCATTGTTTTTTGTTTGTTTTTTGTTTTTTTTTTTTTTTTTTTTTTTTGTTTTTGACACGGGGAGAAGGTTTTAATTAAAATGAGGAGCCAAGAAATGTGCCCTAGGTCTGCCTGTCCTGTGGGGTGGTAGGACAGACAGCTTATAGGAAAGCACCCACATCCAGACTCCAACAGCAGGAAATATGGCCTGCTCATGAAATTTGGCCATTCTGTCTGGGAACAGAGCTGGGAATTATGGCTGGTGCTGTGATGGTTCCAAATGGAATGCAGCCCATCAGAGAGGCAGGAGATGCCACTGCTCATGGTGCTTCCTGCTCCTGCCAGTGGTGCTGCTGAGCAAGGAAATCCCTCTGCAACATAAAAAAAAAAATATTCTGAGCAGTCAGGAGTTTGATGAATAGAAAATCCAGTGCAATGGCAAAGGAGTCTTTTTTTGTAATTATTAATTTTACTCCACATTTTGAAATATAAGCATGTCTTTTCCTGTGCCAGAGTATTGTTCTGAAAAATATATTCTTGTATAAAGCCTTAATCCCCAGAACATTTTGTATTCAGCTAAAGCCTGCTTTTGCCTTTTACAGGTTCTTAACCAGCGTGACCTACTCTCTTCCATTTGCTCTGATGGCTGCCTGGGTGCTGTTTATAGCTGATTTTGTTAAAACACTTGTTCAGGAGAAAGATCTGAGGCTTTATGAGGTACGGGGAAACTTTCTGGGGCGTGCAGAATTATAAACAGATTTTCCTTATTCCTGGTTAGCGTGTCTGATGTTCAATATTAAATGGAGCAAAACAAGCATTAAGGAAAATATTCCAGATACCTATTGTTTGACCTGCAGTGTGCGAGTTCTGACATTATAATCAAGCTCAAAGCCATGGAGATGCAGGGTGTTTGCCCTTCAAGTGGAGGGAATATTGCTTTGCAGTGCTGAACACAGGAAACATGGGCATCTCACAAAATTACAGGGTTTCTGAAGATTTAAAGCTCTCTAAAAATTGACTTTGAGTCATACCTACTGGGGACAAAGACATGAAAAGTGACTTATTTCCTATCCTTGAAGTTATTATACTTAATATTTCAGAAGGTGCTACATATTACATCAGCTCCTCTGAAATGAAGTTCTTCATTCAGGTTGCCTGTTGGAAAAGAAATGACATTGAGACATTGGGAATTTATTAAATTAACTCAGGTTTTCAGTGTGATCACTGTCAACAGAGATGAACAGCAAAGAACTTTTGTCAAACTAAGCTTCAGCAAGCAACAAAAGCTTTGTGCAGATTTGTTTTTTATCCTACACCATGGAAACAAATACTGATTCACCAAAAAAACTTCCAAGAAAGGACACTCTGACCTGTGATGAGATGGAAAATGAATGAACCCCAGTGTGTGCTGCCTGGCAGCCCCCTACTCTAATTTAGGCAACAATTTTCACTGTCTCCAGGGGACCAAGGCATCACTAATCTTTTTAGCTGTGTAATAATCCACAAGAAGACACCAACACATGTAATTTCTTCTGGATTTATCAATACAAATTTACAGTTTTATGCAAGTAGGGGAATTTTAATCATCAGCTAATATAAATTAATATTTCTTCCTGCTGACCATAGTAATTTAGCTGATATTTTTTGTCTTGGGGCTGTTTGAGAAATGTCTGGTTTCAAAGACATTTGAGAGCTTTTAGGTTTAAGCCACTGGATCAATTATCATTATTTTTAAAAATTACCAAAAGGTTAGAAAATATAGAAATCTAAGGCCAGAAGCTGCTTTGGAGCCTGTGGGCTGTGACATTTGATCCTTGCAGGTCCTGTCTGGGCTGTTCTTTTCCAACAGACTGCTTTGCAGTCCTTGGGCATTCCTGAGATGGGAGTGCGTGGTTTGTCCCTAGAGAGAACGAGCATGGTCTGGTTGCAGCCCTGTCCAGAAGCTGGAAAAAGAAATCATTCAATATCAGCAGAAAGATCTCTTCATTTCTCCCAAATGCCACTTGTGATTGGTTTTTTTTTCACCTTCCTCTCTGCAGTACATGAAGATGATGGGTGTCAATGCCAGCAGCCATTTCATCGCCTGGTTCATCGAGTGCGCCATCTTCCTCCTGATCACCGTCACCTTCCTCATTGTTGTTCTGAAAGTGGGTCAGATCCTTCCCAAAACAGACACAGCACTCCTGTTCCTGTACCTGATGGACTACAGCCTGTCCATCATAGCCATGAGCTACTTCATCAGCGTGTTCTTCAACAACACCAACATCGCGGCCTTGGTGGGCAGCCTCGTCTACATCCTCACCTTCTTCCCCTTCATCGTGCTGCTCGTCATCGAGAACCACTTGAGCTTCTCTGTCAAGAGCCTCCTGGTGAGTTCTGCTTCTCCTTAGTCCCAGGCAGGGTAATGTGTGGAGGCAGGGACCTCAGTAGCTCTTCAGGGACCTCACTCCAGCTCTTACTGTATCTCGTGCCTTTCTGAATTCCATCAGCGGGTGGTGACAGGCATGGTAGGAGAGTTGGCCATGCCCCATTTGGGGAACACCTGGCATTAGCTGTGTCCCCTGACTGAAGGCACTCCTTGCGGACTTTTAGTGAGTTCCTACCTGCCAGCTGAATCACAGTAGTTTGAGCTATGTACTTTCCCCTTTGGAATTGCAAAGGAAAATGGATTGTTTTTACCCACTCTGAAAAACCAGGCTGTCTCAGTGAGGGGTTTGGGTAGAGCAGGGCTGGCTCTGCTCATTGCTGCTTCAGATCATCCTCTGGCTTGCTCTGTCTCAAATTCCTACACGTGGTAGTAGATGTAAACCCTTATTTCTTACCAAGGGGCAGAGTAGGTCGATGTTAGGTTCCAGAAGCCAGACTTGTCACCAAATTCAGGAAATTATATCTATTAAGGCAAGTGATAAAAAATTAACCACATGGCTCTATGAGGTAATTCTCAAGCACTGCTGTATTTCAAAAGCCTATAATAAAGCCCTGTACGAGGGAGGAAGCTGTGTCCTGGGTGTGGAAGCAAAAGAAAGTCAAGCTCTAAGGAGCATTTCAGCCTGTCACCAGGTAGCACTTCCCATCACAGCCCTGGTCCAGTGCTCCTTGTGACTGCTGGGGAAAAAACAAACCCAACCCTCATTTTTCTGGCTATTGGAATAACCCAGTGAGGTACCTGATTGCTTGACTGACCTGACTTCTCTTTGAGACTAATTCAAATGTTTCCTGTTTTCAATTTTGTTTATTCCCCAGAGTCTGTTGTCTCCAACTGCCTTCAGTTATGCAAGTCAATACATTGCTCGCTACGAGGCACAGGGCATAGGTGAGTTTATGGCTGACAAAGCCAGGCTTTGAGCCAGGCTTTGGTGGTATTTCACAGCCTGAGAGGAGTTCTGAGTGTGTTTCTCACTTCCTCTCTGCAGGACTGCAGTGGGACAACATGTACAAGTCCCCAATGATTGGAGACAACACTTCCTTTGGCTGGATGTGCTGGCTCATTCTCATAGACTCCTTCATTTACTTCATCCTGGGCTGGTACATAAGGAACGTTTTCCCAGGTAAGGATGCAAAGCATTGAGGGTGGTGCTGTAGCACCTCTGTTGGAGAGCAGTGGACACAGAGCTGGCTGAGGCAGTGAGACAGTGCACACACTGTTCCAGGCCAAAGGGAGCATGACTTTGTGGGTGTCTGAGCCTATTAAAGGCACTGAGAGAGAGCAGAGCAAGGGAGAATTAAGGTTTCTCAGCCTCTCACTTGGGTAGGTGGGTCTCCTGAAGAAGCTGAAGCCAAGGACACAGGAGGGTGTGATTGCAGTCTGGTGGGTGAGAGTGGAGCATGTTAGACTGCATTTGTCAGCTGACTGATTTTGAGCTGTGTTACTTACATCATTTGGTTTCAAAAAGTAATTCCTGCCTTGGGCAAGAGCCAGTACATTTGTCTTTTGCTTTTCTTCCCCACCTAATGAAGCAGTCCACTGGCATACGGAAATCTACCCAGTGGAAAATGTAAAGTTCTCCTGCCCTCCAGCTATGGAGTTACTCAGAATAACAAATTAGTGAGTGCTTCCTATTGTGCCAATCAGAAAAAGTCTCTGCCAAGCCCTTGGTAGTGCATGAACATATCAAGAGATCTCTGTGAAGTTAATTTTTGCTATTTTGAGTGCACCCCAACAGTGGCACTTCCTGAGGAGCAGATAGCTGAATGAGACTCCTGTTCCTGCAGGTAGATATGGCATGGCTGCTCCCTGGTACTTCCCACTGCTTCCATCTTACTGGATTGAATACAACAGCTACCTGCCCTTCTGGAATGAGAAACAAAAAGGCCTCCTCTTCTCCAAGCTGATGTTAAGGAAAGAAGTCACCCTCCCCAACAAGATATGTATGTGGATAATGGAAGGGGTAGCAATAATAATAATAACTTACATTTTGGGTAAACAAAGCCAAATTTGTAAAGGGGCACCATACTCAGAAAACACCATTGATTGTTATTTTGAAGCATAGGAAATATTGAAAGCTGGTACTCACATGAATGGAGATCTGGCCCTTAAATTATGTTTGTTCTTCCTATTTGTTGTGGAGAGTCAGTACTGATTTTCACACTCATATTCATGTGTGTTGTAGTTGGGCAGTTACCTTCCATGCCTGTCTCTCTGTGTAGAAGCACACTTGTGTTTGGGCAAGAAAATACAGGTTTCCACTTGGCAAAGGGCATGTGTGCCTCCTTGCTTATCTCTTTAAATAATTGGCCTGTAAAATATTGAGATCACACATAAAAGCCTGCTGGTTCCACCTAACTGAAAATAAGTTGTTTTGCTGAACTGAAATCCATAGTTTTGCTTCATGTCCTCTAATTTTCTGTGCTTGTTTAGTATAAATAAAGTTAGGTGCTCTGAAACACCTAAATATGAGACCTTTTCAGAATTGATTAATGCCTGTTGTCAGGAGCTATTAGAAGCTTCAGAAGTAAAAAAGGAAAATCCCAGAGAGTTCAAAATTATACAGATCTGGTGACATGTTCTCAATGTTCCTGGCTGAAAGGCACTTGCCTTTGCTGTATTTTGGTTTCCTCTGAGATGAGAAAAGTAGCCCACCACCTGCTGCACTGCAGTAGCTGTCCCTGACCCTTCTCTTTGGTGTCAAAGGTGCCCCCCACCCTCACGTGGAACCGGAGCCCACCGACCTCACCTTGGGAGTCTCCCTGCACGGCATTACAAAGGTTTATGGATCCAAAGCTGCAGTGGACAACCTCAGCCTCAACTTCTATGAAGGGAATATCACTTCCCTGCTGGGACACAATGGAGCTGGGAAAACTACAACCATGTGTGTATCCTTTAAAGCAGCTCTGTTTTATCCTGTGGGGTGTGGTTGGGTGAGCAAGAGGGCACTGGAGCTGTGCAGCAGTGGGAGACTGAGGAAAATGCTTCACTAGGCCAAATCCCTCCTGTAATTCCATCTTGCTCATGGATGACCTCAGGAGTTCCTTCATCTGTTAGAATTCTTTAGGTTCTAAAAGGTCCTTTTCTGCTTAGGAAGATGCTTTTTAATCTGCTGAGATGCCTGGGATACACAGCACAGCAGCTGTTCAGGTGTTTTGTTCCACGGCCTGGGGTTAGGCTGCTCTGGAACCTGTGGGGAGCTCATGCACACACCAAAGCTGAAGTGATACTGGCAAGAAAACTTAATAAAGATACACTTCAGCTGTACAGAGTCATGTGTTGGCTGGGCTGGAATGGCAGGGGATTAATGCATTGGCCTTTCAGCCTTGCTGTTTATAAATTATTATTTGACTTGTTAGATAACAGCACTAAAACAGACCTGTAGAACTTGATTTCTCCACTGATATATATGTGCATATCTCTGAAAGGAACATTAAGCTGATAAATAGAAGCCTCAGAAGAGCCAAAATCAGTAAGACAGATGCGTGCTTCACCTCAGCTTATTATCAATTCACCTCATATTCTGTTTACAAAGTGTAGCAAAGGTGATATGCAGAAAAGTATAAAACCTGCCTGAAACTTAGCACAGGCTTCAAATCCTGAGTAAGGTCACAAGTTATTGCTTTTAAATGATGGTTTGAAGTCCCAGGAGAGAGGAAAAACTCTGTGAAGGTGAAGGGCGGTCTGAGATGCATCTTCTCCCTTTAGTCCCTGCAGGACAGCACCAAAAATGAGCTGTAATGTGCAAGTAGTTATTCTGAGCACAGGGAGTTTGACTCAGCTCCTGCTTGGTGGGTGATTATTTGCTTGAAGTAGATGAAAGTGCTGCCCACTGTGAGGTGTCTCATCGAGACGTCCTCTCCCATTTCTCATGAGTAATGGCAGTGAAATCAGGTCTCCATGCTCTCTGTGATTAGTCAGATGAGGAGGTGGTTTTCAGTCTCAGCTGTGGTTACAATATGAGGTGTGGGGGCACTCCAGGCAAACCTCAGAGAATAAGGAGTAACTGCACTGAATGAATTCCCAGTAATTAAACTGGAAGTCAAGGGCATTCCTGAGTGTGTGGGATATGCAGTGCTCTGACCTAGGGAGAGGGAGGCTGCAGCAGGTAACAGGAGAGGTGAGGAGTAGCCAGGGTGAGCTTGGAGCTTGCCCTTGCAATCCCACAGAGGGGAACAGGGATGTTCATGGATGCTAATTTGCTTCTGCTCTGCCAGAGCATGGCTGGGCAGCAGAACACACAGTGGGCAGTGGTGTCTGGCTGGAAGGAGTGGGATACAAAAAAACCTTGGAAGTGGTGACAGCTACAAGGCCACATGAAAAATATTACCCATGGCTTCCTCCTTTTCCTAACTTCCCCTTTCTTTCTCCTTCAGATCTATTTTGACTGGGCTGTTCCCTACGTCATCAGGCACGATCATTGTGTATGGCAAAGACATCAGGACTGACCAGGAGGTGATCAGGAAGAACATGGGGGTGTGCATGCAGCACGACGTGCTCTTCAACTACCTCACCACCAAGGAGCACCTGCTGCTCTATGGCTACATCAAAGTCCCTCACTGCAGCAAACAAGACCTCTACCAAGAAGTGAAGAGGTACAGAATTAGCAGGGGGGCAGAAGGGAGAGAGGGCTGTCAAAATAGTTGTGTGGTGGTGCCAGTGCCCCTGCAAAGCTCAAAATCGTGGATTGGAGGTCTTGTTGCAGCTCCAGCTTAGGGTTCAAATGGTGCCTTGCTCTGACTGGAGGAATATATTGATACCTGTGCTGTAAGAAAACAATATCTCTTCTCCAGCGGGGTTTACAGGCTGCTGTGGCAATTATTTGGAGATGAATTTATAGGCCTAAGGGTCTACTCCTCACTGCTTTACAGTTTGCCCTGGGAAGAGATTTAATCAACCAGTCAGAAAGATGATGTTGGCTTTATTGGTTCTGCAGAGAAATGAAGCAGTTAGAACATCCCAGGGAGTTTGGATCTTGGTGTCTCAGGTGATGGGGTTGAGCCTTTAACCTTGACTTGTCAGATGAAAAGTTTGAAAAAATCCTCAAAAATGTTTTAAATGAAAATCCCAGTGACTGAGCTGCAGGGTGACTCTACACTGTGACCACTCAGTAGAGCAGTCCATACTTGAGCAGGTTTTTTCAGCTATTTTCAGATTCCCTGCTTGGAAAAAATGCTTGAAGGTCAACTGTTGGGGGTTGTTTTCCCTCTGTTTTGCAGGACTTTGAAGGAGACTGGGCTGTACAGCCATCGTCACAAGCTGGCTGGCACCCTGTCTGGGGGGATGAAGAGGAAGTTATCCATAGCTATTGCTCTCCTGGGGGGATCCAGGGTGGTGATTCTGGATGAACCAACCACGGGGGTGGATCCGTGCTCCCGCAGGAGTATCTGGGAAATCATCTCCAAGAATAAGAAAGGTACTGTGAGAGGAGGTATTGCCCAGAGACAAAGGTGATTTGTGTCACTTTACAAAGATGGTACCAGTGGCTTTGAATTGTGGGTTTTGGAGGCCAGAGAGAAAAAAAATTGGGAGACTGGGATTTTGCAGTTCTGGAGGGTGCATCCAAATTCACAGTGTCATTTAAAAATAACTTCACCATAGAACACAGCTTACAATACTGTAAAATTTGTCTCTCTTGTTGCCTTTCATCCAATTTCACTAATAATTACCAAAATATGCAAGTGATTTTCACCTGATACTCTGTGTCCCCTCATTCAGTGAGGCTTTTAGCTGTATCACTGTTGAGATAAGGGAAGATCTGACCGGAATGTGATAAAATAAAATTGCTATAAACATTCACTGTATTGATTTAACAATGTGGACTTACTTGCCATGGGCTGATCCAGAGCAAGGGAAAGCTCTGGAACCCCTGCAATTTTGGGAGACTGGGATTTTGCAATTCTGGAGGGTGCATCCTGGTTGGTTTCTGTAAATTCACAGTGTCATCTAAAAAATAACCTCACCATAGAACACAGCTTACAATACTGTAAAATTTGTCTCTCTTGTTGCCTTTCATCCAATTTCACTAATAATTACCAAAATATGCAAGTGATTTTCACCTGATACTCTGTGTCCCCTCATTCAGTGAGGCTTTCAGCTGTCTCACTGTTGAGATAAGGACAGATCTGACCAATGTGATAAAAAAAAATTTGTTATAAACATTCATTGTGTTGGTTTAACAATGTGGACTTACTTGCCATGGGCTGATCCAGACCAAGGGGAAGTAGCTGTATCACTGTTGAGATAAGGGAAGATCTGACCGGAATGTGATAAAATAAAATTGCTATAAACATTCACTGTATTGATTTAACAATGTGGACTTACTTGCCATGGGCTGATCCAGAGCAAGGGAAAGCTCTGGAACCCCTGCAATTATATCATTATGTAGGGAAACACAGAAGTTTTTGAGGAAGAAAAGAAAGTAACCCAAATCCTTCTAAAATCCAGTTTTGCCATAAAACCAGGTGTTCATTCTGTGCTGACTGTGTTTTCCAGGCAGAACCATCATTCTCTCCACACATCACCTGGATGAAGCAGAAGTTCTGAGTGACCGGATCGCCTTCCTGGAGCATGGAGGGCTCAAATGTTGTGGCTCTCCTTTCTACCTCAAGGAAACCTTTGGGGATGGCTACCACCTGACCCTCACCAAAAAGAAGGTTTGTGTCTGAGCTGGGCCTAGAGCTCCTGGCAGCTCTGTCTCCAAGGGAGTCATCGGGGCTGGTTGAGGGATGTATTGGCAGGAGCTGAGTGATCTCCATGGCCTTGTGAAAACAGGAATCTCAGTTGTTGAAAAAGACCAGGGTCCTCTTGAAGGTTAAAGGCAAGGCTGCAGAATGTGAACTCTGGAGTTCAGAGGAATAAAGCAGATGGAAAGAGCCCATCCATAGTGTCTGGCCTGGCCCAAGTGTTCTGCTTGCAAGGAGTGGGCAGCTCTGCTCTTGCTAGCATTTATTACAGTGCTGTTGGTAGCCCCAGCACACATCCATCCATAGTGTCTGGCCTGGGCCAAGTGTTCTGCTTGCAAGGAGTGGGGAACTCTGCTCTTGCTCTTGCTTTATTACAGTGCTGTTGGTAGCCCCAGCACACAGGTACCACGAGAGACCAGCCCCTCTTCTGGACTGCTGGCACTGGAGACAAAGAAAATAAAAAAAGACCCATGAGCAAGCCCCATTTTTCATAGGAAAAAGAGTGAGTTTGTTCTGGCAGCCATGTTATGCTCTCTGCTGGCCAGGCTTTTTCTCACAAAGAGAATAGAAAGAAGATTATAGTACATAACTACTGCACCAACTACAGTTACAAAGCAGGAGAGTGGATTCTGGTAATTGTTTTGGTAAATGGAGTCATTTGGACAAATTTTTCTTCATATTTTCTTGCTCCATAGGTGTTCCTCAATCTGACAAAAGAGCTTGTGAAGGACCAGCAAGAAGTTGCTGTGCTGCCCCATCAGCTGCCTGGAGTCAGTGGTCACACTGGTGGTGACGAAATGTCTGTGAGCACAGACACCTTCACAGAAAGAGATGGTACTCAATCACCTACAGGGTTTATTCCAGATTTACTGCAGATGCAAACGCTGACAGATGGACTGATTTGAGCTCCCTGTCTTCTTTCTTTGTTGAAAACCACATTTCACCCAGCCAGGAATCACAAAACTTATAAATCACTGGAAATACAGCACTCATCAGTCCTTTAGATCCCCTGCTTTGGAATTTATCCTGAATCACAGGATAAATTACTGAAGGGGTTTTGTTTGCATCTGCCTTCCTTTAAATTGATCCAGGTTTTAATCTAATCAAATACAGCATGTGGGTGAAAGACTAAATGTGTACCTCTGAAAGTAATTGCTGTAATAGATGTAGAGGATTATCTCCCCATAACTAGAAGAATTGGAAAGAAACTTTAAGGAAATCCCTTAGTCTGTTGGAAAAGCAGCACAGCTCTGAGCTCCTTGGTGCTTTTTGCTGTGCCCTAGACATTGCAGTTTGGTAAAGGAGCCCAAGGGAGCAGACAGTGGGGTAAATTCAGAAGAGAACCAAGCTACACCATTATCCCTAGGGTCTGAGACCTCCTAAAGGTGGTCCAACCCAAGAATGAGACATACCTGGGTTAGAAACACTGCTTTGTACTTATAAATATACCATTTATAGTCAGAGAGGTATCCAAGGGACAACACAGAGAGGTACTTTTGTACTTCTCAAAGCAGACCTGCACTCTAAACGTTACTGTAAACAGTCACTCATGTAGAAAAGTGTTTTGTTTCACCCTTTAAAAAGGCTGAAAAGGATTTCCTTCGTGGTATATTATACAGGTTAATATTTCATAAAGAAGAATAGCTGGCACAGGATTTGGCTCTGCTTTTACTATACCACAAAACCTGTCCATGCAAGAGGCCCAGTGGCTTGTGCTTGTTTTCTTGTTTCAGGATTAATTCCGTTATTTATTTTTCTGAGGACCTGCTTTTTAAATTATGAAAAATTTCATCTTGCAAATCTAAATGAAAAATATGTTTCTCCTGTAAGCTGCAGCTGGGTAGGTAGGATGTAGACAACCTGTTTCATCTGGAAGCATATTTGCAAGGTCTCACACTGAAGGTCACTACACGTACACATTTGAAATTTAAGAAAATACTAGTGTTACATGAGCTTTTGACTGGAGTCCTGTGCCTGATCCTGTGTTTGTTCCACCTTAGTAGTATTGTATTTGCTCAATGTCTCTCAACGAAGGCAGGAATGATGAATCTGACTCCATGTTTTCAGAAGGCTAATTTATTACACTATGCCTCATCCTGGTTTGTTCCACCTTAGTAGTATTGTATTTAGGGAATGTCTCAATGAAGGAATGATGAATCTGACTCCATGTTTTCAGAAGGCTAATTTATTACACTATATTATATTAAAGAATACTATACTATACTAAAGAACACAGAAAGGATACTTACTCAGTGTTAAAGAGATAATAATGAAAAGTCGTGACTCTTTCCAGAGTCCCAACACAGCTTGGCACTGATTGGCCATTGAGTCAAAACAGCTCACAGCAGAATCCAATGAAACAATCACCTGTGGGTAAACAATCTCCAAACACATTCCAGACGAGCAAAACACAGGAGAAGCAAATGAGATAAGAATTGTTTTCCTTTTCTCTGAGGCTTCTCAGCTTCCCAGGAGAAAATCCTGGGCAAAGGAATGTGAATGCCGCATAGTAGTTTGGATTTGCCATCTGTAAAAGTGTTCAGGAAGCTAAATTTCCTCCCAGAGTGCTCTACCCATCACTTCCCTGCACTGCACAAATGCTGAGCCATGACCCAGTGCCATCCTTTGTGCCCAGACCAGCTCCTGATCAGGTCCAAGAGCCTGCGGGGTTTGCCGCTGCTGCTGAAGAGAACCTCAGCCCTGTTCATCAAGAGGTTCCACCACACCCGCCGCGACGTCCGCGGCTTCATCGCCCAGGTCATCCTCCCCGTGCTCTTTGTGATGGCTGCCATGGGCCTGGGGACACTGAGGACCAAGGAGACCGAGTACCCCGAGCTGCTGCTGTCCCCCTCCCTGTATGGCACAGCCGACCAGGCAGACTTCTTTGGGTGAGTGCTGCTCCTCGGGACCCCGTGGTGCCTTGGGAAGGCCGGCCTAGAACAGAGACCTGACAGAGCTAAAGAATAAAGCAGGGATTTATTAAGAGGCCTCAATGGATCCACCTTGGGCCGTGCAAGAGCCCAACCAGGGCTGCACCCAGGATGGACCAAAATGGTCACAAAATGGACAACCAGTCACGGGGTCTCTCACTTTTGTAACTTCTGGTTCATTTGCATATTGGAGTTAATTGTCCAATTATAGCTTTAGCTTAACAAGTCCCATCCTTCTTGTTTTTCTCTCTTCAGTTCCCATTGTTTATACTCTTGGCCGTGAAATTTGGATCACTTGTCCTTGGTCCCCAGCTAGAGAAGGAATTGTTTTTGTCTACCTACTCTGTGAAGAGAGCTCACCATGCCCTAATATGAAGCTCAGAACTACACACTAAAGCAGTACAGAGTCTGAAAAATATAAAAGCTAATCCCTGAGGCATCACCCGACTCCCCCTGGTTCAGAACGAGCCCTTCAGGGTTGTTTCTGAGCACAGCCAGTGTCCTACACACAGGACATGTGGTTATGTTGTGCAGACAGCACAGAGAAACCCTGTTCCCAAGGGATCTCTGAGGAGACGGCTTGGCTCAGACCAGAAAGCTTCAGAAAAACAACCTCTCAGCTGGATTTAACTATGAAATGTCTGAGGAATGTTCTTGGTGTTTCCCATTGGAGTCTTTCAGCCCCATAGCAGCCATAGGGATTTTCTTAATGTACACATATATACTCCTCCCCCAGTGTGAAATGAGGTACTCACATTAGTTGCCTCCAACTTTACAATTCTGGGATCAAATTCTGTCCATCTTGTGAGCATTTCCCTCCTCTCTGTTAGCACAGAATATTCTTTCCTGGTCAGGCCCTGCTGGTCCAAGGCACACAGGCAATTGGAAGAGCATGTGCTTTTCCAGGGTCATTAGGCTATCACCACTTAATTATTTCATTCTCCTTAAAAATCCTGTTACCAACAAAACTATAATTGGTATAATTTGGTTTTCATGCTGTGAACCTCTTTCTTTCTCTAGTAATTCTCAGCTCTCATTCAGAAATACAAAATTTAGCTCTAAAGCCATTTTCTCTAGGTGTATTCCTCACATCTCTCCACTTCAGTCCTGCTAGATGGGGGAATGAGCCAGAGCTGCATGTCTGAGTCCTCTCTTCCTCACGTTCCCTGCTTTTCCTGTTGGATCATTGCTGGAGAGCTGGGGCACAACCAAGGACAATCTTCTTGAATGGTCAAAACCAAGTGGATGTCACGGATGAGAGACCTGATTGAGACAGGGCTGCAAGCACTGCCTGGAAATTGCAGTAGATTTTTTTTTTTTTCCCCTTAAAGAGAAATTTGATTGTCCAAAAGTATCTTGCTTGGATCTAGAGGCAGCAAATCCCTGGAGTGGCTGAGGTGGTGAGGGCTCCTTTTAAACCTGTGTGACTGTCCTCACGTACTGTGTGTCCTTCAGTGCTGCTTCCACAAATACTCAATTATTCAACACCTTAAATCCTGTTTCATTCAAACACAGTTTTCCTCTGCACAGTGCTAGTGGAAATTCTTTGAACCTTCTCCTGTTTTCTGTTTTTCTTTGTTAATTCTTAGGAATTTTAATGAAACCACAGCTGCTTTAGTTTCTTCCATGCTGGCTTTCCCTGGGACAGATAACACGTGCATGAACGAAAGCAATTCGTAAGTAGTTCTGGGGGTTTTTTTCCACTTAAACTCCAAACCTGCAAGAGAATTGGCATGACACTTTTAGCCATTAGACCTTAATAACCATCTTTGATCATGGGCAGAATTCTCATGCATTGGGCTCCTGCATTATTAGGAGTGATAAGGAAGCAGCTTTGCTGGTGGCAGGATGCCAGGACCAAAACGAGCAATTCTCCTCCCTGGGAAGTGGTCCTTGCCGCCCCAATAATTCCAATTATAACGTGAGCCCACACAGCAAGCCCTCAGCACAGTGTTTGTTACCTCTATCTAGAAGCTGTGCCATGAGGGCTGGTTTGTTTTGGGCTTTGCAGATAAATTATTAGGATGGTAAAGTCCTGGGCAGACTTGGATGCTTGTGCAGGCAAATATTTACCTTGAGTGTTTGCAAGGACTGCCCAGGCAATACAGGAGTGCCCAGAGATTGCCACAACAATAGCCCTTATTTCTGGGCAGGTGTCAGATGCTTTTGGCCTCCGAGTGCCAATTCCTTGCACAGTCTACTGTAGGAATGAAGTGGTGCCTGGATTCCATCTGATGGCTGAGCGAATCCAGGCGCAGGGAGCAGCAGGGAGGGCTCTCTGCCAAGGGGCACAGGAGGCAGCAGCAGGCTGGGGATTCCCTGAACCACCCAGAGCTGACAAGAGGCTCTGCCTTTCTGCTGGAGCTGCCCAACTGCCAGCCTTGCTGTCATTAAACATGACAGCAATTAGCTTCGTTTGCACACCTGAGCCCAGAGAGCCTCAGAGGAAAACGTGTTCCTTTTCAGGCAGTGTTTAACAGAGGACATGCTTGGCCAGTGGATTACCAGTGGAAACCAGAGAACCAAGTATTCTGCCTGCAACTGCACAGATGGCATCCAGGTAACTTGGATAAACCCAAAAGTGAAGGGGTTTGGGGGATAACTGGGGGCCTTGTTTGTTGGGAGTGGTTTTATGGGCTGGCATGATGCTAAGGGGAACTCAGCATTCCAAGTCCTCCTGTCTCTCTTTGGCCTTGTTAACTGGATAACCACTGTCTGCACCAGTTTGGGGACAGGAAAGGAGACAGCATCCTCAGAATATTCACACTGTAACACCCCTGCCCTGCTCCCCATGGTGGGAAAAGGTTTAATGGTGTTTTTGAGAGTTGTATGACTGTCCCTTTTGACAGAGGTGAGCATGTGTTCAAGTGGAGGATTTCATCTCCTACAAGCACTGTCAGTATATAGAATCACAGCTGCTTTTGCTGCTTGCTCCTCAGAATTTAACTTTATGCAGTCTAGATCTGCTCCTTGTTCTAAATATTAATGATTAATAATAATAATTTGCATTACAGTGGTACCTACAGAGCCAGATATGGGCACTGCTGGGATTTGCCTGCACATGGGGAAAAGGCAGATTCTGCCCCAAGGGTGTTACAGTTTTACAGTTCAGTTTGGGGTTGAGCTCTCCTCCCTCCAGTGCTGCTCACTTGTCTTCTGCTTTTTGCCATAGCAAATAAACTCATGGCACAATGTGATGCCTTTTAACATAAAGGATGTACTTAGCTGAACGTTTCTAGTCATTCTTTTAAAATGCAGCTATTTTGTGCACTTTTCTGGACATATACCTAATTTCACATCATTAAAAGTATTGGCATAATTTCTCCAGCAAGTTGGGATAATGTTCAAAGCTGATTCTCACCTCTAGCAGGCACAGGCAGGTGTTCCTCAGCATGGAGGAAGCTATTTTGTGTATTCAGATGAACAGATGCACAATGGGGGAGTCCAGGGCTTTTGTTAGGGATGAGCTGAAGGAAGAAGCCAACATTCTGTCTGGGAGGACACTTCAACCTCATGAAACACTGATGTGACTTTGGCCCTCAGCATGTTAAATTATATATTCAGGATTAATTCAAGGTTTCTCTGAAGCCCAGGAAAACATTTCCAGTGACTGACAGTAAAGCAGAAATACAGAGTGTAGCTGCTGAGAAATGGAAGATGAGAGTTTGAGGCCACCACAGAGTTTTCTGCTCTGTGAGTTGTTTTGCCCTCTGCAGTTGTCTGTGCAGTCACTCTGCTAAGTAGGATCAGCCTTGATTCAGCCAAAATCTTCCTACATAGCCCACGAAGCACATTTCAAGGTCCCACTGATGCCAGGAGAACTGAAGGGTAGATTTAAGCAGAGTTTTTTTTAAGCACATCCCTGAATGTGTTGGGACAGCGTGCAGGGATGTGTGCTGTGTGTCCCTGCACCCTGGCCTGGGAAGGAGCAGCTTCTGCAGGAATGAGGCTCAGCACCAGACTGCTGCCATGGCAGGCTCTCAATCTTGTCCTGATGTGGTGGTTTTTTGTTAAAACACAAACACTAAAGTTTTTCTTCGTTTGTCTCCCCTCAGACATGCCCACAGACAAACTACACTCCCCCTCACAGAAGGACCTTCTCCACACGGACACTTTACAACGTGACAGGGCACAATGTGGAGTCCTACATCCTGGCAACCACCAAAGACTTCCTGCAGAAACGGTAGGGGACAAACCTGGAGGGGCACAGCGTCACAAACCCCTCCCTCTCTGCTGAATGGCACTGGGAGCAAGGCAGGACATCCCACACCTGCCACATCCCCTCTGCTGAAGAGGTGGCAGAGCAGCAGGGGTTTGGAATCTGGTGAAAGGAGCTGAAGTGCCCTGCAATCATGGATAAAAGATAAAGGCTCGTGCAAGTGCTCTGCTTGATACAGCAGATCATAGCCTGGGGAGAACGTGTCAATCACCTGGCATGTTGGGGCTGGATCTGCAGACAAGCCTTTGTCTGACTCAAATCTTTAAAAAGAGGAAAATCTGATACAGCCTGTCATGAATAAACCCTGGGGAGAGATTTTCCTCCAGATCTGACTCTCTGAATAGTCTCAGTGTGTGCTTCACTTGGAGGAGTGCCTCCAATTCCAGAGTCTGAGCATTTCCTTGTGCTGTGGGGTGGCTCTGGGCTCTGCCTGGCAGCTGCACAGCAGAGCTTGGGGCAGAGGTCACCTGCCACTAAGGCTGGCAGGAAACGTGTCCATCTGCCACTGATAAACTCAGCTGCTCATCTCCTGGGTCAGGAGCAGCATCTCAGCCCAGAGAGGCAGGCACACAGCTCAGGAGTCCACTGGGCTCCAGGCTCTTCCTCACAGGGAGGCTTTCAGCAGTTTTGTGACAAGGTTGCCAAGATTCTGGGTCTTTTTCCCCCCAATAAAAGGCTCCCAGGGGAGAGGTGGCTTGGCTCTACACTGGGACAAGCTCTCTGAAGTCAGGCTACAGTGGCATACAGGCATGGCCCATCCAAGGCAACCAGAGCTTTGGGATGAGGGCAGCAATGCATTTCCCTCTGGTTTTTACTCAGGTATGGTGGCTGGAGCTTCGGGCTGCCTTTGACACCAGATCTGCAGTTTGACATCAGGCCAGTGCCCCCCAACAGAACACTGACTAAGGTAAGCAACCTCCACCTGCTCCTCCTGGCAGGGGAAGTGTGGGACTGGAAAAAAAAGAAAGCAAAACCCTCTGAAATCTGCAGCTTGGCATGACAAAGATGACTTGCAGATCATTTTCTTTTCTCTCTCCATTCTTCTTTATTGGTCTCACTTCTCTTGCTAGCAGGAGGCAATTTTTCTGCTGTCATAATTTTATTATACAGAGGTGAAAGGATCAATTAGTAGCACCTTTATCTCTTGAGGGGATGTATGTACCATAACGAGGGCTGGCTGGTGCATTCTGATATGCCCATTTCTCTGGTTCAGCTCAGTGAAAATGTTGTAAAGCACCAGGGCTAAAATGTGAGGTAGTTTGCACAAGTGAAGCAGGACAAACCAACATGCTGTCAGTAATAACTCCCAAATTGCTTCAATTTCTCAATTGTGTGCAGGTGTGGTACAATCCTGAGGGTTATCACAGCCTCCCAGCCTATCTCAACAGCTTGAACAACTTCATTCTTCGAGCCAACTTGCCAAAAAATGAGACTTCCAGATATGGTAAGTGTCCCTTTACACGAGCAGATAACTCCTCCCCTTTGGAGGGATGTCCTGGTTCTGCTGAAATCCATGACAACACTTACCTTGACTTTAATGAGGCCTTTATGCACTGTTCTGCAATTCCTTTCAAAACAGAATTCAAAAGCATGAATAAATCAGAGTTCATTTGTCTTAGTCAGAGGCTCAGGGGAGCTGGGCAGGGAGGACCCCAGCTCCTACACAAAACACTTCATCCAAGACAAGCCAGTGGCTGCTGATTGATTTATTGCCTCTGATGTGGCACTGCCAGGGCTGTCTCTTGATAGGTGCCCATCAGTTATGCAGAGAAAAGCTCCTCTAGGCCATCTCCAGGGGTGGGTTAGATTAGAAAATTTTAATATGTCACCCTTCTGCTGAGAGCAGCCCAGGCTGTGTGGGCATCCATGTGTCTGGGTTTGAGTGAGAGTGGGGAGGGAGAGATTAAAGGAGAAACATAATTTTCAGCTTGTTTTTCCCCTGACACCTGACATACACAGATCCAAGGACTGCTGATGGCCCATTTGGGGTCCTCATAGCTTCTCCTCCATAACACACTGCAGCAACCCAAATTCCTGCTGGTAAACCAGGGCACCTTGCCTTTCCCTTTGCAGTTTAGCCCCTTTCAAAGTGCAGTGTGGGCACAGACCTGTCTGCAGGGGTGTCTGCCTCCAGAGAGGGCCAAGGTGCAGAGACAAGAGAGATATTTATCTTCAGAAATCTTGCACAGAGATGTCTGGGCTCTGCTCTGCCAAGAGCAGCAATTGTGTGCAGAAACACCCTCCTGATTGACTTTTTTGGACCAGCAGTGCCCTCCCAGCCATGTCCTGGCCAGGCCTAGCCCTGCTCACCTCAGGGGGCTGCTGTCCCTGGTGCCACAGGGACAGGTGGCAGTGTCCCTTGGCTCACAGGACATGTCTGAATTGAGCTGTGATGGAACCAGGCACCTGGCCTGAAGCTTTGAGTGTGACACCCTGAATCCCAGCAGCAGCAGATGCTGATCACAACTGGCCCCAGCGTGTGTTGCTTCCCAGCTCACTCCACTGCACTGCACTGAGACTCCCCTCCCAGCCAGCTCAGCTCACAGGGAGTGACACCAGAGCCTTGTCCTGGCCTCAAACAGGGCCTGGCTGTCCCCTCTGGGGTTTGCAGTGTGCCCTCAGCTCACACATCACAGAGCTGCCCAGAGAGGAGACCCCAGCCAGGCGCTTCCAGCAGCAGCAACATCCCAGAGCAGCTGAATTATTAAGCACTGAAGCTCCTTGCTCTGTCTCTCTATTCCCAACACATGCTGTGTTGGGAAAGAGCAAAGAGCAAAGGCAGGAAGCTCTTGTGAACAGCCAGAAAGTTTTCACAGGGAAAGTTTTCTACCAGCAAAACAGCAATTTTCAGGGGGAAAGAATAGCAGCAGTTTTTGTTCCATCTGTCCCGCTGCTTACGTGGTTTTGGGAAGAAATGCTTAGTACTAAATGACCAGACAGACAATTCTCTGCTTCCCACTGATCATCCAAGCCAGAGAAGGGGAGAAATAAAAGGAGTGGATGAGGCTGGTTCCCCTGAGGGGAGTAAATCCAGTCTGAAATACAACTGCAGGCACGTTCCGTGGGGTACGCTCCTGGCAGCTCAGTCGGGTTGTGGTTGTGACAAATAAATGATGCTTTAAGAACCATTGGAATGGCCAGATAAAAGTGTGTTGTCACTTCAGCAGTGAGAAAGAGGTGCCAGTCCTGCTTTGGAGGTTTGACTTAGACTGGGTGTATTTTTAAAAAAATACATAAAAAGCTTTTTACCCTGTCACTAAGCAAGTCATAATAGCTTTTGACTTCTGTATATTGTGCTTTCTCTTCTCTCAATCCCAGCTAACAAAAAAGGAGGAAGCATTGAAATGGAAATTTTGACTTCTAGCCTAAGCTCCAGTAAAGGAAAATGGCTTTATAGTGAAGTATTAACAGATTAGACAGACAGTATCTTTCTTTCTCTCTCCCTTTTGGAGAAGGGAAACATTTCCTGGCTGTTTGTATGACTTTATCAGCAGTCCAAGATTTTAATCCCATTTCTCTCACTGATGACAAGACTGAGGTTTGGTTGGGTTTTTTTTTTCCCTCCAAAATTAATTTCTGATTAAATCCTCCCTTTCAAATTCATTTGCTGAGTGTGGCATTTGGTCAGCTCAACCCTCAGGCTCCTCCCTTCTGGTCCCCCTGTCAGAGTGCCCATTCTTAGGGAAAATTTCCCAGAATAATTCTTAGGAATAAACACCATTCCTAAGGTCTGCCTCCTGGCTGTGAGGAGTTTAAATTCCACAGGTGGCATGGTATAGAAAACCTCTGGATTTAAGAGCAGCTGGAGGTCCCCCAGCACTCCCTGAGGCATTTTCTTAGGTGTCAAAATATGAACTGAGAACCACCTTAGAGCCTGGGCTGCCATCCTGGTGGGGCCAAGGCAGAGACCTGCACTGGGGGTGGGAACTGGCCCACCAGAGCCCCTCTGTGCTCTTCCTTCTGCTTTTGTGGGCACAGATTGCCTCCAGACATGGCAAAAGCACTCTGGTGAACAACACCAGTGTCTTCTGGGCTAGGTGCTCTCCTTGGAGAAGGAGTGCTGAGAAATCTCACCTGAAGGTACCTGCACATAAGCAGAGAATTTCTCAGTTGCAGTTTGGGCCTGATACAAACCCATTTTTAATGGATTTTTTTTTTTAACATCACAGGGACTTATCAGTGTGATAATTAAATTTTTGATAGTAACTTTGATAAAAATACTCCTTATTTTATTTTTTTTCCTAGCTTTTTAAGACAGAACAGTTCAGAATTATCTCACTGCCACAATGGGGGCAAAAGTGCCTGTAGCTTACCTGGGTTTCTGCTCTCACCTCCACAGATCCCATATGGAGAAAGACATCAGGTAGCAGTTGTGGAGGAGGGCAGCAGGGAAGGACTTGTTCCTGGTGATAAAAGAACAAATGGAATGAGGTGGGATCAGCAGACAGCAGCTCTGAAACAGAACACATCCATCAGTTTGGAAGGTGTCAGTGCTGAGGGATCTAAGCTGGAATACCCAGGTGTGGGAAGGGAATGGGGCTGGCAGCCAGGCAGGGGTAGGAACAGAGCCCAGGGCTTGAATTTCAGATCTGCTGTGCAGCCAAGTGAAATCCTAGCAAAAAGGAGGAGGCTCAAAATTCTGCCCAAGATCACACAGAGATGACAGAGCAGAAACACACTTTTGATCTGCTTTTCTTCTCTTTTTCTATAGTTTTCTATATTGTTGTCAACATCAGGAGCTGGTGAAGGAAGCTTTAATTTGGACACATTTTCAATTTCTTCTTTTCTTTTTTTGCATCCATAGGTATTTTCCTATCAGCTCACCCATATCCTGGAGGACAGAGTCAAGAACAAGTAATGTAAGCAGATTCATTTGGCTGATGCCTGAATTTTATAGCTTTAAAAGGAGCAAACCAGCTTATTAGAAACCAAAAACCAGCCTAAATTACTGGATATCTTTCTCTAAGTGATGAAACTGTTCTCACTTGTGTTCATTCCCCCTATACATGAATGATGTCCTGCTTGCCACCAGAGCTGGGGAATCCTGTGGAGTTTTTGGCAGGATCTCATGGAGATCTGGAAGTCACAGCTATAGCCTCACACCTTTGTGTGTTTAGGCATGTAAACAAACTAATAACAATAATAATAATAATAATAATAATAATCATAATAATAACAATAATGACATTATTTTCCTTTTGGCCCTTGCACTCCATGCTGAGGCCCAGCACTCCAGCTCAGTCCTGTGAGTCCCTTTTGCTCTAAATCATTGCCATCAGCACAGGGAGCAAAGAAAGGAAGAAATTCTCCTCTGTGAGGATGGTGAGACCATCCCTGGAAGTGTCCAAGGCCAGCCAACCTGGGATAGTGGAAGGTACAGAGGACTGGAACAGGATGGGTTTTGAGGTCCCTTCCAGCCCCAAACCATTCCAGGATTATAAAAGATCTGTCCCAGAATCAGGACCTTATTGCTTCTGAGCTCTGACCAAGCCTCAGAGTGAGGGAAATCTGCCACTTTCACTCACCAAGTGCATCTTTCTCCCCTTTTTTTCCCAGGCTCAACAGCTTACTGGACATCATAGTGTCCATGTCTGTTTTGGTGGGCTACTCCATCACCACAGCAAGCTTTGTGCTCTACATGGTCAAGGAGCACCAAACCAAAGCCAAGCAGCTGCAGCACATTTCAGGCATTGGGATGACAACCTACTGGGTGACCAACTTGGTTTATGATCTGGTAAATAATTCACATTCCTAAATGCACCAGGGGGAGCATTACACACCACGGGGGGAAAAAAAAGTTCTTTATTTAAAGTTCTTCTTACTGCTACCAAGAGTGTTGTGTAGTAATTGTTCTCCAAGGCACTGGGAGAATTAAATGTGAACTGCAGCACTGGATTCTGCCAAGCAAAGGCATTCCTGCTCTCTGGAGTGTGTGTAAAACACCCAGCACATTTGAATGGGAGCAGCAGGGAGCAGGCTGCAGCTTGATTTCCATCCCAGCTGCTGCTCTGCCAGCTTGCAGGGCTGATCTGCTGTCAGCCAGGCTCCACAGCTCTGGGGTGAGGCTTTGGGGCTCGAGGCCACAGCCAGTCTGGGATCTCTGGAGGCACAGCAGCAGGCATCCCTCAGCTGACACAGCCCTGCTGGGCAAAACCCCACCTCTGGCTTGGATGCTGTCTGTCAGAGTCTGTGTTATGAAGGTTTTAAGCCAAGGAAAGCTACAAATGCAGCCTTGCAGGACCTGAGCAGTTCTTTTTTCACAGTGCTGCATGGGTGTGCCTTGCTGAGCTCCCAGCACTGTGCTGCATTCCCTGGCATAGGGGTGCCCTTGTTCCCCACACAGTTCAGTTTCCTCCCGGTGCAGAGGGTTCATGGCACTGTTGGAAAGCATTGCTGGGCCAAGGGGAAAAATGTTTGTAGTGTCTGTAGGCTGAAGTGCTTTGTGTCTTCTGCATTCCCTGTGGTGCAGGCTGTCAGACCTTCACCCAGGGATGGGCAGTGCAGCCAAGCTGGGCTGCAGTGCTGACCAGCTCCCCCTACCCCACACAATTCTGCTGATGCACATCTGCACGTGCCTAAAATCCCAGTGATTCCACTGCTTCCCAAACCAGGAAATCCTCAAGGGCATTTGGGTGACCTGCCCTCTTTGGTGCAGGGAGGACCAAGGGCTGGAATCCCATGGGGAATGTGAGCCAGAAGTGCCTGCCTGGAGGGGCTGATAAGTGCAGGTGGCAGCACAAGGATCCCCTGCCCTGCAGGAGGAATGGAAGGGCTCCCAAGGCAGCAGCACAAGGATCCCAGCCCTGCAGGAGGAATGGAAGGGCTCCCAAGGCAGCAGCACAAGGATCCCAGCCCTGCAGGAGGAATGGAAGGGCTCCCAAGGCAGCGTGGCCCCAGCCTGGCTCCCCAGCAGGGAGGGTGGGGCAGGTCTGTGCCTGCCTGCTCCCTGCCCTCCCTTCCAGCCCTGCATATTTGTAAATCAGCCCGTGGCAAAGTCCCCCGAGTCCTTGCACAGTCGGTATTTAGCGGGCTGAAACTAATCCAGCGCTCTCGGCAACTTGATATTTCTCAGTGAATCCCTGCCAGTAAATTCTGCTAAATCCCAGAGCTGGGGAGGAGAGGGAGCTCTCCAGGCAGATGCTTGGTAGGTCTCTGGCTTGACTCAACACTATAAAGACTAGATTTACAGGGCACAGTGAAGTGCAAGGCTAACAGAAAGCCCAAAGGGGTATTTTTCATTCACAACCTTTTTTTAAGGCACTTTCTGCCCACACTCCTCAGTGCTGAGGCTTTGCCTATTCAAAGAGGCTTTGTGGGAATTCATCTCAATTCATCTGGGGGGAATTGAGAGCCCACCTGTGTTTGGTTTCCCTAGAAAAACCAAACCAAGCTGCATTTGTGGGACCAGATTCAGTCCTGGCATTATGAAGTGGTCTGACTGCAAGGCTAACAGAAAGCCCAAAGGGGTATTTTTCATTCACAACCTTTTTTTAAGGCACTTTCTGCCCACACTCCTCAGTGCTGAGGCTTTGCCTATTCAAAGAGGCTTTGTGGGAATTCATCTGCAGTTCATCTGGGGGGAATTGAGAGCCCACCTGTGTTTGGTTTCCCTAGAAAAACCAAACCAAGCTGCATTTGTGGGACCAGATTCAGTCCTGGCATTGTTTCTTCTGTATGTTTGTAGGAAGGTGTTTCAGAACTGTTGTCCTAGTAACATCTTTTTTAATATCATTTTGCAGGTACTTTTTATGGTCCCTATTGGACTCTCAGTAGGAGTTATTTCAGCCTTCCAGATCCCAGCTTTCTGCAACAACAGTAACTTAGTGGCAGTATTTCTTCTGCTGTTACTCTTTGGGTAAGTGTGGAGCTTAGTTGTTTAAATATCACTGCACAGGGCAAGGAACTGGATCTTGCAGGCTGCTGCAGTCTGAGATCCAGGGGGGAATATGTGGGAATATATTTCTCTTCAACATGCCCTTCACAAACAGTGACCAAGTTGCTCCTTCCATGAGCAGGGAGGTGAAGCCTTGTTGTCATGCCTGCTTTATTCACAGCAATCCCTACGTGAGGATATAGAAATATCCAAGGTCCCAGAAGCAGCCCAAGCTATAAGCAAATGCTTGCTGACCTCTTGCAAAGTTCAAGAGCATTTTAATATCAGAGAGCAAAATAAACACCAGTAGCACAGTTCTGGAAAACTTAGACAAACTCTCCCTGGCTTTGACTCCAGGCCAAGTCTCTTTGTTTTCAGGTGGGGTTCCATGTTCAAAGTATGTATCATAAACCTTTTCTCCAAATTCTAACAGACACAAAGGCATTTTTCCTTTCTTTAAGCTCTGTCATGTGGAAATGTAGTTACATGCCAAAACAGCACTGCTGTGTTCCAACTCTGGGAGTGTTCAAAGCCAGGTTGGACAGGGCTTTGAGCAACCTGATCTAGTGGCAGGGGGTGGAACTGGATGGGCTTTAAGCTCTCTTCCATCTCAAACCATGCCATGATTCTGTCTGATGTCTTCAGTGGTTTGTTTTCAAAGCAGCCTTTGAGTTACCATGGTTTTCTCTGCACTGTTGGTATTTACAGATATGCATCATTTTCCTGGATGTACCTGCTGGCTGGGCTTTTCAAGGAGACAGGGATGGCCTTCATTGTTTATGTCTGTGTCAACCTGTTCTTTGGCATCAACACCATTATCACTCACTCTGTTGTGTTCCTGCTCTCCCAGGAGAAGGCCACAGACCAGGTAGGAGCCCCACAAGTGGTGACCCAGCAGGAGGCTTCTTGTGGGCTTGGTGGCTTTGATCAGGTGTGTAGCAGCTGGACACAGTCACAGGATTTCATGGGCTTCCCTACAGACAGGACATGAGTCACATATGGATCTTGCTTGTCTGTGAATCTGCATCCCCAGCAAAGAAAGAAATGATGGGGACAGAAGGGAGAACATGAAAAGAAGAGGGAGAAAACTGAGGACTCTCTTTATAACCACCCTGGTGATGGAAGATGGAAGGAGGTGGTGGAGATGCTTGATAAGAAGTTGTTGATGGGCACTTCAAACCATTGCTGAGTTCTTGAGCATGAGCTGTGGGGAGTGACAGCTGAATGTCACTGCCCTGAGTCTGACATGTGCTGCAGTTACCCAGCACCAGCTCTGTCATTTCAGTCTGTAATGCAGTCATCTTCTCCTTTCAAAGATGAAAAACAACCCAGAGACAGTGATGGTTCCCTAAAGTAAAGCCCTCTCTTAAACTGACATCTCCCTGGGAATGGCTGGGATAAAATACACATCTTACACTTAGATTCCTATTTTTATGGAGGGCAATTACAATAGCTGGGGTGGATTTTTCTCTCTGTCTGGACAGAGTTTGTTCAGCAGCCCCTTGGATTTTAGGGACATGCAATTATGATCACTCTGTGCCCCAGTGGCAGGGAGTCAGTTCCCTTCCATGCTAATTTAGTGCCTCTCCAGTTTGCTTTGTGCACTAATCCTTTCTTCTGCTAGAAATGTACCAGAGTTCTTTACTGTGAGACTGCACTGGGCTGTTCTGCTGTGAATTAGCTGGAAAAGCCCTTCTATGTCTAGAAAAGCCAAATCTTTTGTTTTATGGAGATGTTTTTCCAAGGAAAACAGACAGGGCAGTGCTCCAGGGGAGCAGACTGTGCTGGACAGATTAGGGGGGCACAGTGGCAGGACTCTGCTCTGGCTCCTGGGTGGGTTCTGGGTGCTGGAGCAGCACAGGGACCATGCTGGGAAGTGGCTGCTGTTTACTATGGGTGATCACAACCTCAGAGCTGCCTGTTGACTTTTATGACCTTGTGCCTGTGAAACGAGCTGTCTGCAGAGCTCTTTGCTCTCAATTTATCTCTGCTGAGACACAGGCAAATCCCAGTGTAATTGTTACACTTCAGTCCCACACTAAAACCTATGAATTTATTCCATGAATAAAAGCAGTGACTGACTGTGCTGCTCTTTGTTTTTTTCCAGGGCTTGCGTGATCTTGCTGAAAATTTAAGGCATGTGTTCCTTCTGTTCCCACAATTTTGCTTTGGCTATGGCTTGATTGAACTGTCTCAGGATCAGGCACTGCTGGGCTTCTTAAGAGCCTATGGAGTGGACTACCCTGACAAAACCTTTGAGCTGGACAAGACCACGTCCAAGCTGCTGGCCATGTTCATCCAGGGCACCGTGTTCTTCGCCATTCGACTCACAGTTCACGACAGGATGGTCCAGAGAGTGTGGAACAAGGTCCTGGAGTAAGTAACAGCTGGAGCCTCACTGGGAACAGCCCCAGCTCCATTCTGGGCTCCTGCACCATCACTGGCTGTTATGCAGCCCATCAATTTCCAGCACAATTTGTGACTGTGGAGTGAGTTTGCTCTGGCAGAAGTCCTGGTAATTAGAATATTTACTAGCAGAGGTGTAGTTTTCAGAGTGCCCTGGTAGCTGGTGCTGGCTGGCACTGCAGCCCTGGGTTTGGTGGGTGGATGCTCAGCTGTTGGTGGGAGCACTCATTCCACTGACAACCTCCTCTGTTTGGCTCTCCCCATCTATCTCCTCTGCCCTGGGTGCACACAGAGGAGTGAGAACATCCCTGTCACCTGCATGAGGAGCAGGACCTGCTTCAGCCCAGAATATCTGCTGAAAAAGAGGGGGAAAAAAACAGGCAGGAAGAGAACACTGGGTGGAGCAAATACCAGGAGAGAACAGAAACTATATCTGAGCATTGTGTGCATGCCCTGGGATCTCACAGGGAGGCTCCCTGGGATCGATCCCAGCTGCTGGCTGCTGCTGCAGGCTCTCCCCTCTCTGCCCTCCCCCAGGTTCCTGTTTGACAGAGTGCATGGCAAAGCCTCCCTTCTGCCCCCCACGGCCGTGGAGGATGGGGATGTCCAGGCAGAGAGGAGCCGGGTGGAGTCTGGCAAAGCTGACTTCGACGTGGTGCAGCTCCAGAACCTCACCAAGATCTACCACCTCCCTCACAAACGCATCACAGCAGTGAGGAACATCAGCCTCGGGATCCCTGCTGGGGAGGTGAGCGAGGGGAGAAGGATGAGGGCACCTTCCCCTGTCACTGCCCTCTTCTGTAATGGTTTGTTCTGCTCTGGCCTCTTCCTTTCATTGCCTCATTTATTGATTTGTGGGGTTACAGCAGTGGCAAAAGGCTCCTGGTACATTTGGGACATCAAGTGATGGTTTGAAGGCCCTAGAAGGAGGGAAAGTGAATGGGAATTGATGGAGCTCTATATTCAGAGCAAAATGTCTGCATGCTCTGTGTGTACAGGGCAGTCTTGGGGGGTCACTGGGGATCACCAGGTGGTAAATGGAGACAGCAGAACATGTCCAGCTGAAATGATTCACCTGAACTGCATGGGAGATGGTGAGTCAGGCTTATCTGCTTGTGTCTTCCCATCAGGGGAACACAAATCACTCCAGCTGAACACACATTTTCATGAATCAGGAGCTAAAATTAGCTCCAAAGAAAACAACATTCTTTGGTCATGTTGGTGCAGTTGCCTCCCTGAGAAGTGAAAAGACAGGAGTACACAGAGCACCTCTGAGATCCAGAGGAAACTGGAGACCAGATTTTACCTCAGGCTGTAGAAGCTTGGAATTAATCCTTGGCACCTGGTTTATTTTAATTGCCTGGGTCCCACTGAGATGAAAGGACAGTATCCTCACATGGATGCTGTGCTAGTCTTTATGGTTGAGGATTTTTTATAAGCCAGGACTGGCACTGAGATCTCTGACTTCTAGAAAAATTCACCCTGATGCTGGTGGGATTCAGGGCACCATTCCCCACCTGCAAGCAGAAGCTGTGGCCCTGCACTGCAGACTGTGCACAGATGCTGTTCCTGTCTGGACCAAGGTGGGGAAGAGCCATGGATTGCTGTGCATCCCCAGCACAGGGGGACTTTCACATCAGCTGGTCTGCACTAATGATGGCAAAATAACAGTAATTATCAGCACAATGGCAATGGCTGATGCAACACACAACTGCCTATCTCCAACCTTAGCAATGAAATGTAGATTTTACCATGACATGCTAGAACTACACTACAGGGAGACAATTCTTCATCTTATTAAGGTAGTGCTTTGGTGATACTATGGGACAAAAACCTTGTGTTGGCCAGGGTTTTAAGCAGTGCCAGCCCAAACCTCACTCACCCCGTTCCCAGGAGCAGCTCTGCCCCAGCCAAGGGGAGGCTTGGACAGATGAGCTGATGGGGATTTGGCCTGAGCTCCTGCAGAAGTGCACCTCACAGTAAAAGGATTTACTCTACTGGAGACACATGCTTGGTTCTTCACCATATTAAACAAATGGTGCTAATAGAAGCTGAGTATATTGCACCATAAACAACCTCCATTATAACACTGCCATGCTCTGAGTTCCTCTGGAAATTCATCTTGCTCAAGGGGCTGGAAAAAGAAGGGTCAAGGTGCACTGAGCAGCCATCTCAGAGCAATATTTCTGCATTAAAAATACAGCATGTTTACATTCTGACTTCTCTTTCCCAGTGCTTTGGCTTGCTTGGTGTGAATGGAGCTGGAAAGACAACAATCTTTAAGATGCTGACAGGGGATATTGGAGCATCCAGCGGAAGGCTGCGGGTCCAGGATCATTCTGGGTATGCAGGATGTGATTTCTGGGGAAGCAAATCAACCTGAGAGCAGTTTTTAAGGCTGGGTGGCAAAGGAAAAGAAATGTAAAAGTCTGAAATAAAACACTCAAACCAGAGCAAAAGTAAATAAAATAGGGAATTCATCCTTTGAAGGTGGCATGGTTGCTTCCTAGGGGGTTGCATTTTACTGCTCAGAGGTGTTTGTTCAACTTTAGCCCAAAGCAAATGGGATCAAGCTCAGGGCCTGAGCAGTGTGATCCCACTTGGAAGCCAGACCTGGAGCCCAGCAGGGCTCACCTCAAAGCTCTCTTTACCAGGTGTAGGCTTGGTGGCAGCTGTGCCACCTGAGGTGCTGGCAGTAACTGGAGAGCTCCATGCTGGACATGCAGAACTGGGGGCCTGAAAGCTGGAGCTCTGCAGTTCCACTGCATTTTCCTTCAAGGGTTGGGGAAGGCGGTAGGGAATAGGAGAAGGGGATTTTCTCCCTTCTGTTTGATTCCAGAGTGCAGTGGCAATTCAGTGAGGTTACAGTGATGTGCCAACCTCCTTCCACAGGTCCCTGAATGACATCAGTGAGGCGCACTGGTCACTGTTTGGCTACTGTCCCCAGGAGGATGCCTTGGATGACCTGCTGACCGTGGAAGAGCACATGTATTACTATGCTCGGCTGCACGGCATCCCGGAGCGGGACATCAAGGGGGTGAGTCACAAGGGCCTTCACTTGCAGCATTTTTGTCATTTGGAGCTTTTCAGTGAGTCCTTCAGTAGATACAAGTGTGGTAGTCCATGGGCTGGACGTGTTGTGGAAGCAGAACTCTTGCTCCCTAGGTTGTACTCCAGCTCCTCCACCGGCTGAACCTGATGGCCTACAAGGACAGAGTCACCTCTATGTGCAGCTATGGCACCAACAGGAAACTGTCAACTGCTCTGGCTCTCATTGGCAATCCATCCATTCTGCTGCTGGTGAGAAATGGGGTCCTGTTGGGGGAACAGCAAGGTCCTTGGGCTGGCAGGAGAACTTGGACAGTCTCACAGAACCTCCTCAGGCACAGCTTAAGGAACACTCCCCATGTGCCCATGCTTGGCCTGACAATAGAAACCATCCCAGGAAAGTTCAGGTTCCAGCAAATACTCATCTTTTCTTTAAGGGCAAGTCTTTCAGTTTCTCTGGCAGCATCTTCCAGAAGTCAAAAATAGACTGTATATTTGCCAATTAAACTCTCCTAGTTCCCAGTTCTGTCTTGTTTTTTATATCTATCAACTTACCTGCACAGCCTTGCAAGAAGAGCAGCAGCCAAGGCTCCAAAACTGTAGGAAAGCAGAGAGGCCACTTTCCTCAGGATTAGAACGTGACTGCATTTTTAGGTTTGGCTTCCTGTCTTGTCTTTCACTCTGAATTTCTAGTTCTTCCATGGGCTTACCCCATTGGTAAAACATACCCTTTTGTGCAGTTTTCCCACTTGCTGTGCGCTCAATGTGTGCAGACCTCTGTGAAGAGGATTTCCAATATTAAGTTGGATACCTAGTGAACATAAATATCCCTTGTCCCAACTTGTATTGAGCCCAGCAGTGCTGCCTTTACTTCTGACCACCTGCCAGTGCTCCTGCTGCTTTGTGAGATAAAAAAATCTCAATAAAAACAGGAGGGGGGAATTCTCTCTATACTAAACTGCTGCCTGAGCCCAGGCTTGTTTACTTTTTGAGTGCAAATTTCCATCCAGTCCTGTGTTTCCCAACAGGATGAGCCGAGCTCTGGAATGGACCCGAATGCCAAACGCCACCTTTGGAAAATCATCAGTGAGGAAGTGCAGAACAAGTGCTCAGTGATACTCACATCCCACAGGTAGGGCTGGGCTGCTCTGCCTCCCTTTTTGGGGTCAGCAGAAGTGTGGAGCGACCCATGCCTCACTGGTCCCTGCACAGCTTCAGGGCACCAAGCTGTGACAGGTTTGGGGGTTTGCTGTGGCTGAATGTGGTGTCCACAGAGACCCACAACACTTTAGGGAAAATCAGTGATGTTCTCCAGGTACTTAACCATATTTTTATACCCTCTCAATGACTTACCAGAGTTTCTTGATTGGTTTTGCAGCATGGAGGAGTGTGAAGCCCTCTGTACCAGGCTGGCCATCATGGTGAATGGGAGTTTCCAGTGCATTGGCTCTCTGCAGCACATCAAGAGCAGGTCAGTAAAATGAACCTATTTCACTTTTACTGAACAGCCTCTGGAGTTACTGACCTACAGCTCTGAGTGCTCAGAACATGAGAACTGTGTTACCAAAACAATGACTTTTCCTGGTTCATGTCCCTTATACACCACTGAAATTGTGTTAACTAATGCACTTTCTACTCCCTCACAGCCTGTCTTCCCAGAATGTGGCCCCCAAAGTAACCTGCTCACTGCTACAAATGAGAAATGTGTATTAGGGCTGAGCTTTGGTTTTATTAGTTATAACAATAGCTCAGCTTCTCACTAAGTTTCACTCCAGGTTAACAACCCTGACCCCATTCAAGCTGCACCGTGCCTGGATTAGATTTCCCCAAAGAGGCTGTGCAGCACTCTCAAAGGAGTTTCTTCATCTGTTTTTCTCTTTTCTACAGCGTTAACTGTGATTTTCTTTTTCCCCTAGATTTGGAAGAGGATTCACTGTGAAGATGCACTTAAACAGCAGCACGGTTTGCACTGAGAAGCTGACAGAGTTCATGAAGTCACACTTCCCAAATACATGCCTGAAGGTAAGCAAGGCAAATGCTTTCAGGAGAGGCTTTCAAAATCCCTTCAAACTGACCAAGAAGATCCTTGCAAGGTAGACATCTTGTGACATACTGTGCACATAGATCTGAGCTCTCAGAGCCACACTTGTCACTGCTTTCAGCTACATTTTCTGAGGGCTGGAGCACTCCAGTTCCTGGTGGCTGAAGTAACATCAGCCAACGAGCTGCAGTGACCCTGTGAGGCAGCTGTTAGGTCCCTCTGCCCTGGGAATGGCCTTCCCCACTGAAGCCTGGAATGGATGGAAACCCCCTTCAGGTTCAGTGGGTAGAGATGCTTCCAGTACTTCCAGTAACTGAGTAATTATAAAACCAGAGTAACTGAGTCACAAATCTCATCCATTGTGTGTTACCCAATCTCTGCATGAATCAAAACTGCACACCTGGAGCTGGAACATGCCATGGCCACCCTTGCAGTTTAGTTGTGCTCCTCAATCACAAACCCCACAAGAACTCCCAGTGGGGAAACACTGGTCACCCCCAGACAGTAACCTTCAGAAGACACCTCAGCCCCTGCCCCTTCATCCTCCCATGAAGCTGTTGGATCTGTTGGCTCTTGGCTTTCCCCACCACTCCTGTCCCCACAGGATCAGCATTTCAAGATGGTGGAGTACCACGTCCCAGTCTCTGCAGGAGGGGTAGCAAACATATTTGATCTCCTGGAAGGCAGCAAAGCAGCCTTCAACATCAGGCACTTCTCTGTGAGTCAGACAACGCTGGAGGAGGTAAGGAATTAAAATGTGAGGCCATCCATTTCAAACTGCTAACAGGGGAGCAGAATGATGGTTACACATAATGGACTGCTGCACACAATAGACTGCAGTTTGAAAGGGATTTCCATCTATATTCCTCCTGGGGGTACTTTGTCAGCACTGCTGCCTCCAGGTACCTCTGCTGGTGCTAGGGAAACACACACAGAAAGCTGCCTGGAGCATAAAGGATCTATTCTTCCCTCTGCCACTGCTGATTTCAGGAGCCTCGTGGGTGTGGGTGAAGGGCAGGACTATGAATCACCCACAAGTCCAGGGCTAGGCTTTCCACTGGTACTGAAAATATGCTTAATGTCACTTTTCAGGTTGTAAGTTCACTTAGCATTACTCCAGACTTAGCTTTGGGGTTCATTCCATTTTCCCTTGGAAGAGCATTCCCAATGGCAACAAAATCTCATAGGGAGCACATCAGCTGAAGGGATTGCCACAAGGACTATCCAGAAGAAATAAAGATGGAGAGCATCAGCACCTGGAATATTAGGTTTGTCCCAGACAGAGGAGCAGAGCTGCAGCCCTGCAGTGCCATGGACTGTGACACAGCAGTCTGGGAGGGGATTTCCTCAGTGCTGCTCCAGTAAGGGGCACTGGCTGTGAGAGAAACAGGCAGGCAAAGCACAGGAAGCCCCAGCTCAAATTTTGTGGGAGGACAGCTTAGCTCTGTGAATATGCAAATCTGATTGCAGGGAGTGTTCTGGTAAGAGTCCTTTCTGTATTCATTAGCTGCTGTTGAAAGGAAGGCTGTTATGTGTGATTTCATACACCTCTCTGTACACTCTGCAGTTGTGTGTGCACAGATGTCAATTACCCAGAGACAGATGGGTTTATGAAGTAATCATGGGACTGTATTACAGCGTGATTGAAACGAGCCACTGCATGGGCAGTGCCTCGCTGGCTCCTGGGGAGCCTGAGCTGCAGGACAATGAGGTTCCATGCAGGAATGTCTGCCTTTGGAAGTATGGAGTGCACATCCATTTATTTACATGAGCCCACGGAAGCCCAGCAATTTGCAATTCTCAAATTCAGCGTGAATCCATCCCCAAGCGAGCTCTCCAGGCTCACAGTCAAATGAACAGCCAGGCCTTTTTTATATTCATTCGTGTCATAAATTATTTATGCTGTCACATACTGAGTGTTTTCCCTTAAACTTCCAGGTTTTCATCAACTTTGCTAAAGATCAAGCAGATCCTGATGGCGCGGACTCAGGCCCTGATGTGACGCTGGACAGCTCTGACACAAGTAGCCAGGCTAGCACCATAAGCTCCATCTATTGAAGGGATCCACCCACACGGGATCACAGAAGCTGGGGAAAAGACCTGACAGCCCCTCCAACCCTGTTTTAAGTGATTTTAGGGTGATGGGGATAAGCAGTTCCATTTTCTTCAAGTACTTTGTTTTTTGATATGCGCTTAATTAATGTCAATAGGAACACGATAGGTGTTTGAGACTGGCACTTGGTTACAAATCAGATTGGTCTTTCCACAGGTTCTTCTCCCCCACCCCAATTCTTGTTTTATGATCACTGCAATGGCTGTGAGGATTTAAACAGCACCACCTGCTGCTCGTGGCTGTTTGCTTACGGTAGAGTGGCCGTGGTGGAGCAGAGGAGCTGTGGGCAGTGCAGGGTGTCTGACCCCACAGAGGGTCAGAGGAAAGCCCACGCTCCTCTCCCTGCTCAGCAGCAGCCTTCCTGGGTGAAAGTGGCTCAGTTTTGACAGGCTCCCCCTGGGGAAATGGGGCTCCTGGCCTTGCCCCTCCTCACAGGGGGTTGTGAGGATGCAGGTGTTAAATACTGACAGTGGCCAAGGCCACTGGTGGGGGCCATCTTGGTAATGACATAGAGCTTATCTGGTTATGTCAGCACAAATATAACTATTTTATAAGTTAGTGCTTCCAGTGGTTTTGGTTTGTTCCTGTAGCTTATTCCAGCTCTAAGTAACTCCTGGAGTGAGTCCTCAGTCCCAGGCAGTTCCTGGCTCTTGGTACCCAGTGGAAGATGATTCCCCCACAAGCCTCTTTCTCCTTCTGGCTGGAGTTCGGGGCTGCTCTGGAGCAGCAGAGGAGTGGTATAGGGCAGGCTGGATGCTCTGACAGAAAGAAGCTCTCTGCTTCATAAGGTTGAATTTCCCTGAGCGTGGTAGAAGCGAGCAGCATCCCCCTTGCTGATAAAGCCTCCATCTCCAGCAGCTTTGCCTCTCTGTGTCCTCTCCAGTGACCTTCCTCCTCAACCCCACCTGCTGGCTGCCCCGTGACTCCAGAGCTGTGTTTTCCCACCTCATAAGGCATCGTTAGCTCCTGCTTCAAAGACTCTGCCTGCTGGCTTTGAGGGAGTGCTCTGCCCACTTCTGAGAGCAGCCCCCAGCAGCTGAGTTCAGCACACCACCACACACACCCTGCTCTCTTCCCCCAGAATGATTAATAGATAGAATAGTTTAATATGATTCTTTGTTAGATGTATCAGCATAAGGCCCCAAAGACACGGGTTTGGGTCAGGGCATTGATGTACCTTCAAGCACAAAATGAACTTAAACTCTGAGCTCAATAAACTTGCTGTTGCTGATAAAACAGATTGCAGATAAAGCCTTACCTTGTGAGACCTGGGGTGGCCCATACAACCTACCTGGGTTCACCCACACAATTCCAGCCAGGGGGTTTCTTTTTCCATTTTTTCCCCCTTCCTCCAAACTAATTTGAGTCAAAGGAACCTTTGATGAAAGCTGCAATGACACATCTTTGTTACCCTGACCATGAGTTTGACTGGTTCGTCTCCTCTGTGATGCCAAGGTTTGCTGTGAGAATTGTGTGAGGAGTAGGCACTTTGTAAAACCCCAAACACCCTTGATATTCAGTGGGATACTGAAGTTCAAGGTTTAGCTGCTGCAAGGAGGTCACGTCTTCTCCTTGGTCTTGGTGTAACTTCTTACTGATAGCAGGAGGAGTTTTATTATGGATTGAAAGTATTATAGAGCTTTGAATTATGCCTCAACCTGCTGACTGTAATTAAAACTGGGATTCAGCCTCTTTCCAGAATGCATTTGACACCTGCAGTTTATAAGTGACTGACAAAGCTGCCCAGACATCCATTGTAGCTTCTATTATTATGTCTCCAACTCTGCAAAAGCTCTTTTTTCTCATTTCCATTGCACATCTTACACAGATCACAGTATAAAATTAAGCTTTTCTCTAATGGAGGGCTTGTGCTCCCTGCAAAGGACTCGGAGCATGAATGCCAATGATTTAAATGCAGCCTTGTAATACCAATCAGAGTATTATTTTATTATGTCGATGGCTTTGCAACTGCCAGTGAAAGATGGATCTCCAGACTCTGTCCAGATGTACTTTACATGTAATTGAGGGAGACTGATACAAAACTATTCTTTTGTCCCTTTAGAGCCTACTAATCAAACAGAAAAAAAAAAAAAAAAAGGAAGTGATTCATTGGAATACTTCAGCAAGTTGCAATTTAATTGTGTAAAATAGAGTTTTGAGGAGAAAAAAAGCCAAAAGCATCCTTTGAATTCCCACCCAGTTCTGGCATTAATAGAAACATCTGCTCCGTGTGAAATGTGTCATGGCCACGATCTACGCTCCCCGCTCTCTCTCGCAGGTAAAAATGAACCATCTGCTCTTGCAATCAAGTCTGTGGGTATTGGTCCAAGCAAGCCAGAGTTTATATACTGGGGGAATTTAACTGAGGCCCGTGGAGAAGCAGTTCCATCCGTTTGGGGGCTGGAAGCATCTGGCAGGGAGTTTGTGTGTAACGTCACCAGGGGCTGAATTACCATTCGTGCCACTTCCCAAACATCCCCATTCCCTGCAGAGCCTCAGAGCCATCCTGTCCCTTGCAGAGGTAGGACATGCTCCAAGCTCAATTCGAGGCAGAACCCTTGGAAGCCAGCACTCTCCTGCCTCTGAACACCAGCTCCGTGGCTCCCATCACCTCTGTGTCTCCCTGAGAAGGTCCCAGGGGTGGCCAGGAATGCGGAGCACTGACTGAAAAACCGCTGATGAGAATCTGAAAGGTTTTGAGCAGGGCAGAGGAAGGATGGGGTGTCATACTGGCTGCCCCCACTGCTAGCCCTTTCTAAATCCCCTCAGAAATTTTGGGTGTACATGACTCTGCTTCCAAAACAAGCCACCAGGCTGCCTCCTTCCTCGGGCCTGAGCAGGGAGCTGAGACTGCTGCGTGCCACGGCGCATCACCTGTCCAGGAGCCAGAGATGAGTGTGTGCTAGAGGAAACTAGCTTTTCATCTTCCTCCTTCAATGCAGCGTCACCTCAGTCACCCCACTATCCCCCGAGGAGGCAGCAGTGCCAGGGTGAGCCCACACAGCCCCGGGCGTTAATTGGAACCGGCCTCAGCCCGGCTCCATTTAAAATGCATTTAAGGCAAGGGAGAGGCAGGGCAGTCACCGAGCAGGGCCAGCGATCAAGGAGGATTGCAGAACTGGCTGTGTGTATTGACAGGCTGGTTGAAGTCAGGTTTGTAATTTGAGTTGTGGACTTGGAGACAGGGATTCAAATCTGCATCCTGGCTCTCCTGTGTTTATCACTTTGTGCTGTTGATGGGAGCTGCTTCCAGCCTGATCCTTCCTTAGCTCCACTCTCGGTGCAAATGGCCTCTCAGGACTGGTTTGGCAGGGTCAGAAAGGGTCTGGGGAAAACCGTTCAGAGGAGCCAGTGTTAAGTAAAATATTGTAAATATAAATTCAAGGTCTCTAATGGGATTTTTTGGTCCTTTCATGAGAGCTGCAGGAGTGGTTTTGTTACTGGGTCAGTTCAGTAAACATGTTTACTGCTCAGACAAACACATCCAGGTAAACAAAATTCAGTGACTGCTGAAGCTTAGGGGCTGGTGGTGCCCAAGGATCTGCAGCCTGTGAGGAATCACTCCTGGGATCCAGAATTTGAGGGATCCATCCTCATAACAGGCTCACAGTGGGGCTTAGCCTGTTGGAGGAGCTTCAGCTTCCTTCCACTGCTGCAGCTTCACTGAAGTTGTGAGGCTTTTTGGCTTTTTACAAGCCAAGAAAAATATCTGTCTCTTCAGTTAATACTGAGAGGGTTATTTTGTGAGCTGGTGGAGAAAGAAAAATGGGTTTTGGATGGCAACAGCACATAGCATGATTTTTTAATTTATTTTTATACTTTTTTATTTTTTTGTGGACAACAGCTGTGATCTTGCATAGCTCTAACAAAGTATCAACAGCGTATTAAAAGTGAGCACAACACAGAAAAGCAGCAGTGGGGAATGACAAAAAAAATTGAATTCACGAGAATTATTATTCCATGGCAGTATTTAAATAAAAAGAATCACTCTAATTAATTTAGTTGTTCAGGGAGAGGATGGAAAGAAGGAAGATGGCACTGAAATAATAAGAAGAACATTAGTAAGGGACACAGCCAGCTCTTGCTGTTGGCTCTGCTCCTCATGCTACTCACATACACAGCACTGGGAAGGAGGGAGCACAAAGGGGAGCAGAATGGCAAGTGCAGCCCATTTTGGGCCAGACCTAACTCCTCAAAATATCTGTAGAAGGCACAAGATCACCCCAGGGAGTATCAGAGTTTTGGGGCTGGAGGCTGCCCCATGTCACAGTACAGTCCTGCAGCACCTGGAGGGTGGCACGTGACAGAATGAAGAGTCCCACTGGCTGAGCCTGGGATGAAGGATTCAGGTCCTTGTGCCTGCAACACATGGAGCAACACTTGGAACCAGTTCCCTCTCCCAAGTGCTCATCCTGGGGGATGCAGCCCCCACCACATTGCTCATTGCTGCTGGAAGATCCTTGTGGAAGCAAGGCACCCAGCAGGGAGAGCAATCCTGAGGGCCCCTGCTGCAGGTGAGACAAGGACATGGCAGCGCTCTCATGAGCTCAAAGCAGCAACCCCACCATCTCCCCAGCCCCGAGAGCCATGGAGGTGCTTTGGTGTTAAGCAGTGAGGCTTTCACTAGACCAGCAAGTTGGGTAGAAGTGAAGCATCTCTTGGAAAGAGTTCAGGCCTTCACTGCCTTCACTGACAAATCAAAAAGCAAAGGATGGCCATGACAATTTATGGTAACACACATGAGACAAAATCCAGGTAAAGACAGGGTAGTATCTGAGGCTCTTCCCTCCATTAACAGGTCAAGGTGAACTCTCAGCCCTCTACTCTCCATGTCCTGGTTGTCAGGGGAAGGGTTTTTGCCCAGCCCTCTGCTCGAGTGTGCACTGCCTCTTTCCCAGCCAGAGCCAAACAAATTGAAGCACATCCAGCGTGTGACGGGGAGGAGGAAGCAGGATGATCTGCCTCTCCATAACCAGACCCAGCTGGGTTATTCCTGCACAAGACAGCAATGAATTTAAGTTAAAATGATACCAACCAGATTGAAATGCAATTAAAGGAGTCCCCTTAGGGCTGTGCATCCAATTAGTAGCGTACCTTTAATTACTCCAGTGCAGTTCCAAACAGACATGTGCTGAGAGGGCCAGCAGCCCAGAGCTGAAGCCTGCCTGTGACCCATATCTGTGAGGTCCCAGAGGAGGTACACGAGGGTTTGCATCACCAACAGTGGCCTGCTCCTCCCCTGGGAAGAAGTTCCCAGAGGAGAAACACAGGAACCTTTTTCAGCTTTGTAGGAGCAATTTTCTCCAATGGATGATTGCTGGAAAACAATTAAGATCCAGGTTCTTCTAAAAGGTAAGAGTTTTCACACTTTTTTGTACATGACATTTCCATCTTGCAGTGCCAGAATGCACTCTGCCTCCAGGAACCGTGAAAGTTAAAGCAACAGAGTTGACTTTGATAAGAAAACTCATTAAAAAATTAGCAATGCAAACATTAAGAATTGCTAGAAACACCAGAGCACTTCTAGGTGTCCCTCTGCCATCTCTGTGGAGTTATATGAGGTAAAAGAAGTTTAACCTTGAGCATAATTCCATCCCCAAAGCAGCCAGCTGTGAGTCTGGAGTATGGTCCTTGGTCTGGAGCCTTAGCTGAAGTCCCTGTCAAAGCCTGTAGTCAGGCTGCTCTGGACAGCAGCAGGCTGTGCAACCACACCTTGCTCCCCCAGATTCTTATTAAAAATCCTTCCAAAGAGAGAAAAGAAAGCTGAAGGAGACTCTCCTTTGCCCGTTGTAGCATGAAGCCTGAGGGATCGCACATGTTGATAACCCAGGTACCCCACTTTAATGCAAACTCACATCAACTTGCACCACATGGAGGCCTGGAATCAATTCTGAGAGATGCACGGAAGCAGGTGCTTTATCCATCTTCATGTGCTCCTCCTGAGGTGTTTCTTTATCTTCAATGTCAGTAAAACAAGCAAAAGCTGAGAGCATAGGCTTAATCAGATTAACAATTATAATCATTCCCATCCATCACTGCAAAGCAGCTGTGGTGCTGCCGAATCCATTTTGCTCCAGGAACCTGGGGAATCAGAGCCATACCTGATCAGCCAGGCAGGGCAGCTCCGGGCTTGCCATACAGAGGAAGAGAGCCATTGTAGGACCTTTAAAGGTCCTGCAGCTAGGGCTGGGCTCCCAGATGCCTGCAGGGGATGGAGATGCTCCAGGATGGTTTGCTCCATGCCTGCTGCCCCGCCTTTCCTCACAGTGGAGGCAGCACAGCAGAGGGA